CCTTAGCTCTCTTTGCCTTTTGGCTTAGATCAAGTGTAGTATCTGTTCTTTTCAGTTTAATCTCTGAAAGATGTCTAAGGACATCAATCGTGATTATTCCTATTTTTGGCTTTTGGGCAGTTTCCTCTGTGCTTGCACATGATTCTGCCCACAGTGTCCCTGGTATTACACTGCCTCCAGGTGACGCGAACATTACATGGGCTCGGTTTTTCATTGCTTGCTTGGGCTTGCCCTGGGTAGTGAAGAAGACATTCATGGGCCTGAAGTTCCGTAGATAAATAAGAACTCTATGTTTTGCTTTGGGTGTTAGCGCTCATTGGAAAATCAGGCTATCGGAAGAGAGAAGCTCAATAACGGTCTTTCGTTATGTTCGTATGGAGTGCCTCCACTGCTGAATGATGTTCCCATGCTCTTGATTATCCATCTCGCTTATGTAGAAGCAGCGCTCAAGTGTTGTTAGAAGCCATCATCCCCAGGTTTGATTTAGGGTAGTGTTTCTCGTCTATGGTGCTTCGCGATGCGAGCAAATGTGGCAGGCGGTAGTTGAATAGACCATATGTTTTCCGCTACCAATCATACACGTTATTCAACCGTCATCTTGCTTGTGCTGATTTCGTACAACTTTTGTTTTGGTTGCATTCTGCATGGCTTCTTAGGTGCCTAGGATGAAGCTTGACGTTCCCTCCGTGAAAAACAAAGTGTGCTTGCTCCTCGGAAGTAAAGTGGAGGAGCTTGAATCGACCAAATGGGAATGAGTGTACAGTAATAGAAAGACGCAAAATTCACATCAGGCATCGAAAACCATAACAAACTTCACATATCCGCCGCCAATAACTAAAATCACAACTTGTCGTGTGCTTTGGTCGTGGAAGCAGTCCCGATTAGGTCTAGCGCCTGTGTTCTGGAAGCTCCTCCAAAAAGTCCACCGCAGACACCCGCATTGACCGTCAGAACAGCTTCAAACTGATACCCACTGAGCGATCCCAGCAAGTCCCTTCAGCGCACTTCGACCTCTATAACTAGCCAATATCCTCCAAAGGAAACATTCAGCACTCAAGGGCGATTTTTTGAGGAGAGTCAGACGTCATGGCTACACTCGGTGGATATCTCAACAGTAGGACACCTCTCCCAAGCTCTACTACCTACCTCACCAGCTTGCTAATACAAATCACAGAGAAAGTCCTGATCGTTACAGCCGATTCGCGTATTCTTGTTGGAAATCTGGCAGCATGCGACCAAACAACTAATTTAGTACGTGCCCTTCTACCCATCATCCCGATACAAAAGCTCACAGCATGTGCCCAGGTCTTGAACAACGCCGTGGAACGAATCATCCGAACACCCGACGATCCTGAGCCTTCCGCTCAAGTACCTTTGGGTCTATACCTTGTCCGCGGTGACAACGTATGCTCTATTGGCCTCGTAGATGAGGCCCTCGACGACAGCATCAACTGGACAGAAGTCAAGGGTTCAGCAATCGGCGGCATAAAACATGTATAGACTACACACTCGAGACATCGGAAAGCGGTCCGCACTGCGATATTTTCTCTCGTATTATTCTGTTTGGGGTACAACATCCACGGCTGGAGGTTCGGGAATCTTCTGTCCCGCGGCATCGATAGGATCACAGGCGTTCGAGTTCAGGGAGTTTAGACAATTCATTTTGGCCTTCACCACGGTGTAGGCTTTCCACAGTTGGAGATAATTTTATTTGACTATTTAAGCTGACGCAAGATCGACAACCTAGATTCTATTCAAAGATGCGCTGCATGAGCACTTCCTTGAAGATGTCATGTCCAGGAGAATCAATCACACGGTTGAGACGGTTGCCCTTGAGAACACTCAGCCAGCCGTGGTCGTCACCAGGAACCTCATCGAGAGTCAAGATATGGGGGTCCTCATCAGGGTTTTCCGAGAGGGCGACTGCGGCTTCGGCAGGCTTCTTTCTGAATCTACGATCAACGACATGCATTCCATGTGTCCATTGACCGCTGGTCTCGACACGGATGTCCTCCAGTTTCTCGGGTGTCTTCCACTTGGGATCATCCCGAGTCAGCATATACCAGACCGTCAGAGGGTCGTGCAAAGAAAGACCGGGCTCGTTTTCATCTCCTTCCATATCCTCGATCTTGCTGAAAGATTTAGTGACAAAGTGTGACACCCACCGAGCAAGGGGGCTGCCAGCTTCGATATGAGCCTGGATGTTCTCCTTGAAGTAGTTCTTGCCAATCAAATGAGGGGTAGTAATATCGAGGGGGCAAAGTGTGAGCTTAAGCTGGCGGGAAAGTTTGGCTGGGTAAGCTCTCAAAGTTGAAAGCTCCTGGGGAATAGTCGGCATCGTGGAGCTCGGCTTGGGGGAGGTGAGTGCGTAAACCCGAGCAGCGGCGACAGCATCAGCGTAGCAGTTGAATTCAGCCACGGGAGTACAGTTTCCCTCAACATTTACCGCCCCGCCCATTACGACAAGCTCCTTCACGCGAAGAAAAGTCTCGGGATCTTCTGCGGCTGCTAAGGCAACATTGGTGAGAGGACCAACCGCAAGGATGGAGACGGTATCGACGGGGTTCTCTTTGAGGATTCGAAGAATCTCATGGTGAGAAGGCGCCTTGGACGGCGTGAAGTAAGGAGAATAGTCTCCGGCTTCATTGGCGCCATCACTGAAGATACCTTTCCAGGTTTCGGCGGGAGACAAATCAGGATGAGCCTCATGAACGTTATGCAAGCCATCGATGCCATCTACAGAAATCTACGTATTAGTGAAGGAAACGGAGTACCAAAGCAGCGTAGAAAACTTACGGAAGTAGTCCGCCATCAGCTCTTCGTCGCAAAGGGGATGATCAGGGCCAACAGCCACGATAGGCTTGTTTGCCTTCATGGCTCCAAAGCCTTCGGGCTTGCCAGTGGACTTCCTCCATTCGAGTTCTTTCTCAAGCACATGGAAGAGAGAAACAACATTTCGGAGACAGCTATCAAGGTTCTTAGTGTTGGTTCATGGTTATGAATGGAATTCAAATATATATTTACCTTTGCAGAGGGACATTACCGTATGTGACGGATACCATAAGAACCTCAAGTTCCTCTGGTTTGGCACTGAGTGCAAGAAGCAGAGCCAGGATATCATCGACACCTTGAAATATTAGAATTCAGGTAGTTAAGCCTCAAAGTGTATGACAATTACCTGGGTCGGTATCGATTATGATCTTCTGCTTGGGAGCCATTTTCGAATTTGGAGATTATGTCCTGAAAAACCAGTGGCGACTTAGATACGAGGAGGTCAAGTTTGTTCAACAAGTTTAAGTAAGTATAAAAGTCTAGAGGAATCTGATCAACCTCGACTTTATTCTCACAATTCTGTGACCCAGGAATCAAAATTCTCACTTGTAACTCAAAATGGAAACGTTGCAGGTTGAAAACAAGAGGATCGAAGTTCTTGTTCACACATGTTATGCCGATGAGCATTTCCCCTCCTTCGGTTTTGGGCAGGTGGGGTGTTAGTTTGCTGAGATAAGCTTTTCACACGAGCTATTGGTTATTCATTTGAGCGACATATGAATGGACATTGCTTCTATTGGGCTCCTGTTGCATTTGTACGATTACATATAAACTCGCCGTTCCTACACAGATGTCAGAGTTGGAATGCTTCCGAGATCCGAGCCTGACGCAGGGTAGTGCAGTTTGAGTTGCAGATGGCATGAAGTATGTGCAACCTCAAAAGTAACTCCGACAGCCAATCATATAACTCAGACGCCAGAGTTCAAAGCTTCGGGGATAACATCAAGAAAGTTTGATATATCCTCCAAGCAATTATCAGTGACTCATCTCATGATTAATTTGTACTTCCAGCTAAGTGTGCTAGTCCTACGAAACCTTTGTGTTCGCTTTAATTAGTCATTTGCTTAATCTTGAAGATCAGTCTCCCAGAAGCATATGATACATACGTGACCAGCAGTATGTTCAAGCTGGTACAGCGACTTGAACAAGGCAAGGGCCTTAGCAAACATCTGAATCGTGGCATACTAAGAAAATGGTATGTTGTGTGATTTTCTGTTTCTCATTTAGTAATGTTCATGCCTCGTGATAAAACCTCTCTCTCAGGATGAGGATCGAGACATGCTTTTAGTGGTAATTTTGAAGGCTTCGCGATATCTGTTCACTCCCTGAACAAACAGCTGTGATGAGCCAATCCCAGGCCTAATATGCCCTGAAGACACTGGAACCCCTGGCTTTGTAATGGGCGGCCCCGCTGTTATACCCATGGATAGTCTTCGTCTCATCAACCTCTCCGTAAAAGTACAGTGGCTGCATCAGTTTCGATCCAAATCTCTCCAGCTAAAGTACCTCCTCACCATAATCCGCCCATGGGCTACCTTTCCTCCCCACTCCGAAACCCCAAGCTCCCCACTACCTTGGCGTCGGGTGCTTTCTGTCCAAACATTGCTCTATCTCCCCTGCGGTGGGAACCAATTCAGTCAATCCCGCGACCCTTCCTCGCCTCAGGTAGCCCAAAAACGACTGGTTGACTGACTTCAAGCCACCTGGTGTCTTCTCCTTCTGTGTGATTTGCGCCAGACTCATCAGTCTTCTTCTGAACCGGCTTCCGTCATTTCTCACCCCTTTCCTCATCTATTCCATCATCAATTTTTTCTTTTCCCTTTCTTTTATCCCCTTAACTCTTCGTCTACGGCCATCGACGCTCTCACGGCTCGGCGATTGGCTTATTGCTTAGGACAATCTGGCCTTATAATTGCGACAGCTTAGCTGCCCCTGCGTCGCTCGTCCTCACAGTCACGCCTCGTCCACAACTTATTTTTGTACACAGCCATTGCTTCCACCCGCCTTGGTTCGTTGGACAAAAGCGGCCAATTGTCGTTAACCGACCGACGTACTCGAGTTCGCACGCCTGTTTCGCTTAACTTCGGATCGAACCACGATCTTCATCTCGAAGCTCGAAACACCCATCTTAAGCACAACACTCAGAACACCATATCACGGCGGACAACATGGGCTACCTCTCCACCATCGCAGGCTACGCCATCCTCATTGGCTTTGGCTACGCCATCTACCAATTATCTCAAGGCCAGAGAGCTCGAAATCAACCACGGGCTCAAATCAAGCCGGCCAAGAGCTCGCAGGCGGAGACTCGCAAGGAGGACCGCAAGAAGAAGCAGCGCCAGGAGGCCTTCGCATCAGAGGCACAGGAGACTTCCAAGAAACCCAAGGCTGAACCAGAGACCAGTGCTTGGACGAGTAATGCTAAGGACAAGGACGACAATGTTGACAACCGCGAATTTGCGCGACAACTGGCAAAGGCCAAGGAGGGCACCAAGTTTGCAGCCAAATCTGATGCTGGCAAGCAGCGAGAGAAGTCTGTCAAGCAATCTCGCGCCAACAAGGTGGCCGGTGCCGCCGAGGAGAAGGAGTCGGCTCCTTCATCTACTACTGGTGCCGACGCCGACGATGATCAGTCTTCTGTAACCTCGCCTGAGGTCGGACCCGCCGTCGCAGTCGCAGGCGATGTCTCCGACATGCTCGAAGCCGCTCCGGCTCGCACAACCGTTCTTCGTCTGACCGACACCGAACCCAAAAAGCAGAACAAGAAGACACCCAAGGCCGAGGCTCCTGTTGAGACCAAGAAGCAGCGCCAGAACCGTAAGAAGGCCGAGGCGGCCAAGGCTGCTCGTGAGGAGTCTGAGAAGGAGCGAAAGGTTCTCGAGGAGAAGCAACGCCGCGCCGCTCGCATTGCCGAGAACCGTACCGCTAAGGACGGCTCCCAGTTCACTGCTGCCCAGAACAAGTCATCAGCTTGGAAGGAGGGAGCTCCCAAGGCCCCCGAAGCTGCCCAGACGAATGGCTTTCATCAGCCCCTCGACACATACGAGAAAGCCCCTGCTTCTGCAGTCAATGCCCCCAAGAGCACTGACAGCAAGTGGATCAAGTCTCTACCTTCTGAAGAGGAACAGATTCAGCTCCTCCAGAACGACGATGACTGGAGCACTGTCAAGACTAAGTCTAAGAAGGGTGCTAAGAATGCTACTTCAGCTGGATCTGGCGACGAGGCTGCGGCCCGCCCCGCCGTCCAGCCCAAGCAACCCACAGGACCCAACAAGGCTTCTCAGCCTTCCCAGTCATTTGGATCTTTCTCTGCATTGACCAGTAAGGACGACGCTGCTGAGGAAGAGCAGGAGGAAGAGTGGGATGTTTAAGCAGAGCAGGTCCCAGATGGATGCATCACGTGTCTTTGAGGCATGACATTACAATTTCCTTGTCACTTGTCTGTAACTTGACTATTTCTTTTCCATCAACGATTCTCTGCGACGATTTGGATCAAGAGGCAGTCTGCCGTCCGAACACTTGCTAAGACGTTGGTGGGGTGCGACAGCACAAGCGTTTGCGGTTGGGAGTTCAGGGTTTATGGCCAAATTTCGACGAGGCGAGGCTGGCCATTCCAGAGGTCGCCATCGAAAGAAAAGCCGACGGACACAGTTCACATTTATGGACAAAAAGCAAGAGTTCATGTTAGCCGCGGAATAAAGAAAAGGCCCGCGGCCAATGACTGCATTGGCGAATAATGCAATGTGTGTATTTGAAAGGAAATTGGGAAGTGTATTGATAGTCGATTCGATTTGTTTGCGACAGTTTGTCCGCCCAAATAAGAAGCCAAATGAAGTATAATTAGTCATGACTGAAGCCTTGGACATGGTGTCTAGATTGAGTCAGGTTCATGTGTTCCTTGCCAACTCTTGACGATCTCCGATAGAACTCGATAAACCTTCTGTAAATCCCTTGCTGTAAGTTAAGGCAAGGGAAACTAGCCTAGGAATTTCGAAATGCACTGAGCTGGAGCATTAAATGGAGAGATGAAGCATGAGTTGAATTGCATGTCACAACATGTACAGTATGGAGTAGTCGTGGCAAGAGGAATGCAGAATGCAAGGCGCTTCTTGAACAAGAGAAGGTCAAGGCAAGGGGTCTAAGCCTGGATTGAATAGTTTACATTAAGTCCAAGTCAGTCGATGGTAGTGAGAATGACATTCCCTTCGACACAAGCATGCCTTTTTCTGATTTCACGAATGCTGTTATTTTGTTCACCGCTCCATGCGGCCCATGATACATGATACATGTTGCAGCGTGCAGACTGCATAGTGCAGTGTGCAGTGTGCAGTGTCGGATGGTTCTGGGCATGGATGCAAGAACGGGATTGGGTAGCCGTAGATGTGCATTAGAATGACCAGGGGCTAGTCACTGACTGGTATTGACCACAGGGCAATCCAGACCCGGACCGTCGCATCTTATGTTAGTAGATAGTATTATGTAGTATCAGTAAGTGAGCATGATTCCTGTATGTTATGGTGTTCAATGTGGTGAGAGAATTGGGTGTGAATCGAATCTTGCCGTGATAGGTCTGGTTCGTGTTCGGAGATGCCAAGCCGGGTGGAGAGGGAAAAACGCGAGAATTGGGCCGAAGAACGAGGAAGAGAAAGAGGGGGCCGAGCCGGAAGACGGAAGCGGGATGCGGGGGCATGAGCTGCAGTTGCGGGATGGAAAAGTATCCATGACGAAAGACAAGAGAAAACGCTGGAAGAACCGGCAACTCTGGGGATATTTGAGTTATTTACGTGGCAGATATCACGCCTGTTCCATAGTGTTGGCACTACTTGATGCCAGGCGTTTCCTTAAATGACAGGATCAGGTAACGTAAGTAGTTAAACGTATTTTGTTTAATTATGATTGAACTGCAATTGTTACTGTAACAAAGACGTCGTATAGATCTACTATTAGTTTAGTGCCGTAGGTATTGACATGGTTAACCGAGTCTTGAGTGGGAGAGACAGTTGCTATCTGAGAGTGGACCAGCCATAGAGAACCAGCCTCGAGAACGATGTCTGGCATGATATGAAATGCGCGGTGAAGAACCAAAGACGTCACTATTATTTAGTTCAACTCTATGAGCCTATGTTACATTGCTCGGCGTAAAAGTTAGAACATGGCGTAGTTTGTTTTTATCGTGCAACGGCGACTTGGCGGTTGAGAGTTTCGTGCGTTGCTTCAAGTTATCAGCTAAAACAAACAAAATGGGAGATCCCGTCTGAGACCGGATGTTACATTGGGACATTTATAGACTGATTATGATAGACAATGATGGCATCAAAGGTAGCATCGACAAGAGATTAGGCTTGTGGTAAACAATTCTGCTCAGTCTGCTGGACCTGGTGTCATGATTCGGCCCTCAACTCGATAGACATTATCCGTCCAAGCCATTGATGAGCTCTACTGCCTCTAATGCTGATGCCGAGAACAACTCCTCTCTCTCAATTCCCCAATCATTCTAACAGCCCAACCCCCTGCACTGAAGAAGTCTCAGATGGTCCAGGCCGCTGCACCCGCTCACTCGATCCATGCCCATGCCCATCCATTGGCACCCCACCCAGCTCCGACCAAGCGGGGGATTAGCAGTGGAGGACCTCGACGCTTGGTACCTGGATCATTGGTGGACTTGTGCAAATGTTGGAGGTCCCTTGTGTCTTTGCCCCCTGCACGTTCGGTGGTGATACATGTGGTATTTGATGAGATGGGTGCGCCTCTTTTTTTCGATGCAGAAACAGAAACAACTGGAAAGGCAAATATACGGTAAAAGGGTTTATCCTGGAGACTTTTATCAATGCATTGAGCTTATTATGTATGGCATTGTTTTTCTGATCTTCATTGAGTTGCAAACGTTGTCGTCTTGGCTCGGTTAACGATGCCAACACAACTACGATACTCTCCATTTCCCCCTGGATCTTTAATTAAGAACCTGCCCCCCATTATCGTCGACTAAATCCTTGACTTTTACCGCAAAGAACTGTAGCGTGCTGCAGCTGTGGCCTTTCTGCAGCTACCTACCTCATCTATTCATCTGCATACAGCCGACCTGCGCCATTTCTAGCTGTCGTCGATGCTGTATCCGTCCGTATTATCGTACCTCGTTTATGGTCGGTCTAGGACTTGGTTACTATAGCACCTCTTTAGCCCATCACCGCCGCCACCAAAAAAGAACCCTTGTCTCTTGTCCTCCTACCAACCTACTCATTATCCGATCCTGTACGGACCTACCCAGTAACTGAGCGACCTGACCTGACGGGCCGCGACAACAGCAGTCGTCATAAACCCTGCGTTACCCACAAATATATGAGATTGGGAATCTTCCTTCCTAGCTCTGGCTCCCTCAGACCGTATCTTACTCTCTAGTTATTCATATCTCGTTATCTCGTTATACGGTCGACCCATTCCGTTTTCCATCTCAGCCTCTCTACTAACCCGCACTATCATCTCTGCCCTGCCCATTGAGTGCCCTGTGCAAACCCCTAGACAAAAACCCAGTGACCCCCCCGTTTTATCTACATACAGCGTCTAGTGCCCGCCGCACCTCTCTGTGAAACGTCGTCTCGCGCCCCTTTATCACCCACAATACCCTTGGTGGTTTGGTCGATCACTCCCCTAAAACAGAGGGACAAAGGAAAAAGGAACGATTTCCAGGACTAGCTGTCACTTGTCTTGGTTGACAGAATCGCATTCTCATCCTTTCACATTCCTGTCCTTCAACTTTTAGGACCAAAGGGGTCCTTTCCAAGGGGGACTCGTTAGCCAAGTTTGCGTCTCTCGGTCGCTGTGATCGGCAGAGGACCAGAGAACCAGAGGAATAAGCCCCAAACAGTCAACGTCTCCGGTCGCCCAGGAACGCCTCTTACGAACTTAACCTCCAACGACCGGCCTCTTTGGTTTCAGCTTTACGGCCACCTTCAAGCAAAGACAGAGCTTTTCTACTTTTACATACCTACATTCTTTACCTTTTGGCCATTGCGTTGCGCTACATTGCAATCTATTCCTCTTTGCGGACCGTTCTGGCCACTGCTGGCGTTGGCCTAGTCAGTACAGGCGTCGCACCTCTTTCGCCCAAAAAAAAAAACGACCACCATCTCATCAGGTCCAATCTCATTTACACCGAGCCTCGCCCTCATCAATTCTTGCTTTTGGCCTTGTTTGTTTTCCTTCTCAATTCAATTTCCACTTCTGTTCTTTGCACTGTCACTTACCCCTTCGGCATCGGCATCTGCTTCGACTTCGATTATCAATCTGCTCATTCTTGGGCTGGACCCCTTTCTCTCCGCTCCCTTGCCTTATGTCTCTGTGTCTTTTGGTGTAGCATTGTCTTCCTTTGTCCATTATTACCTTCATATAATCGTGCTCGTCGTTTCATACGCATTATCTCAATTGAAAGCCAACCAAGCGAAGCGATTCTTATGCCCGGTACACTGTATACAAAGCGACGACCACCACCAACATGTCTCTTCCCGTTGCAATTCAGTCCGCCGTCTTCTATATCCTTGCTTGCACACCATGCGCCAAAGTCCGACATCGACAAAAGGTTCGCGAGCAGTCGCGGAGGGAGCGTGAGGAGAAGGCGAAGGTAGTGGGCGAGCAACCAGATGTATACCAACATCCTTCACCATTCAACACAAATCCGTATTGGCAGGAGGAGATTAGCATGGGGCCATCTTTGCCACAAAAGAAATCTGCCAGCAAGAATTCCAGTCAGCGTGGCCTTACAAGTCAGGGCGGCGAGAGCAGTGCATTCAGCGTATCTGAGCAGACACATCAAGGGGGGAGCCGTATCAACTTTGGCGGTAGTAATTCCGTCATCGCCGAAGACGACAATCTTTCCGACGATTGGAACCGGCGGCATGGATATCAACGAGAGGACGAGGAGCTATGGGGCCAATGGGGTGGCCAAAAGTTCAAGGACGCTATATCAAAAGCACGAGATTCTGCTGGACGATTAATCGAGTCTACACTCGGACTCGAGAAGGAAGTAACAGAGCAACAACGGCACGACTTTTACTTTCCGAAGAACCCTCCCATCAACGAATACCACCCTCCTGTCGTCAGCAGCAAGATCCCTTCGCGAAACGCCCACCAATGGATGTTGCAACCTCCGCCACCAGCCAAGATCATGGAAGGCAAGGTGCCTGTTAGCCGGGCTGGGAGCTCAGGGAGCAAATCGAGCGGCAGGACATTGGTTGGAGATGATATGCAACTTGGTCGCCTTGTCCACGAGAAGCTGGTCATGGAGAAGTTGAAGAAGGAAAACAGCAATCCTACCGAAACCGAACTCATCGAATCCCTCTTCCTCAACCGCACTAACCAATCTCTCTCTATCCACCGAACTCGAAGCCTTTCATTCGACACATCAGACGACTCGCTCGATAGTGGCTTCGCCAAGCGAAAGACGCGCCTACGACCAGTTGCCGCTCCGCCAGGTTACGATTCTTCTGATGATTCAGATTCTGACACGCCCATTCCATTCTCGCAAAGTGCTATGAGCCTGGGAACCCGCCGAACACCCTCGAGCGCGGGTCATGTCGCGCAACGACCGAAGCTTGAGACCATCATGAGCACAAGGTCGGCCACTGCCACTCGAATGTCCTCCAAGCGGTCCAAGCGACAAAAGTCTACTCGATCGAAGAGGCTTTCAGGTGCTGCCTCCCCTGTTGGTGACGACACCGACTGAGTCTGTGTCGGATTTGCGTGAAACAAACGCTTAAGCCACAGTGCATAAGATGTGGCAACCCCTGCGTCCTCGTTACCTCCACATAAGACCGTTTCACTCTGCCACGTACCTCTTTGCGGTCTTGTCTCTTCCCCGTTTCACATGTCTTTGATCTCCTTTAGCATCGTCGTCTTCACCGTCTTCTCGGGTACATTGTTTCAGCTCGGTTTTCTCTTGTTTATAAGCATTTATATGGGATCGGTTTTGGTTTAGCATTGGGCGGCATAGCACTTGGGCGCTGGAGTAGGTTATATGATTTATCTTTTCTTTGTCTTGATTTTTGAAGCACCAAAAAGGCCGGCGATGCGTGCTTTTCAACTGTCGAATGACGTCTAAATAACACTGCGGCTACACTATGCAGCCTTAAAAGCAGAAGTCCTCAGCAAGACAGCAGCTGAGATCGAAAAATAGCAAAATTGGTTTAAAAACCCTCCTCCCTTGTCTGTGACCTGTGACCTATGACTAGGTAGTAGTGTAGGCTGAACCAATTTGACCATTTCGCGTGATTGAACAATTATGCGCATCGGTATACTATTGGGTATCATACCGTGATGTCTTTCCATCTCCCAAACGCCAGCTATGCAGTATTCTTTGTCTTTCTCTCGTCCCACGACCTCACAGGTGCATGCCTCCTTCATCATCCTCTGTACCTAGGTCTCGCATTCGCTCCTCTAGTGCCCTGCGAAGCTGCTCATCACTCAAACTTCCACCTTCAGGTCGACCAGCCTGACGATCCATCTGTACCTCGCCGTTTCGAATTGTCCCTGTTTGAAAGGTCCCATCGTTCCATGCATTGTGTCGATTCTCGTTGTCCGATGCCGCGGTACCAGCTTGTGTATCTCCATTGACAGCGGCCGCGTCTTCATCGTTCTTACTTGTTGCCTCATCCCGGTTCTGGAATTCCGTCCAGCTGAGTCCACGCTCTTCCACCTCTGCACGGATTAGAGCTATGCGCTCGGCCATACGGTCGATAACTTGTTCATTCTCGCGAATAGCATCAATGCAGTCCTGGTCGGGGCCCGAAGTTTCACCAGATGGCGTGGTCTCTGTGCCCTCTGCAAATGGCTTGAGCTGGTCGTTGGAGTACTGTAGATGGGCGATCGAATTGCGGATTTCGAGGACTTTGAGGTGCAGCATGCCCACCGAGAGGTCCTTGAGGGCAGCGGCGAACCGTGCGGGGGCGATGGGCGTGGTGTCGGCGGATGTGGACGTGGAAGACATGATCAAAGATGCCGAGAGCTGCGTGAGGCGGACAGCAGATATAGTCACGATTCTGTGAACAGGCAGAGAGCCCAGGTGTAGTTGGAGATATGATATGGATGCAATAGGGAGTTTGGAGAAGACCGCGGGGCAGTTGAATGTAATGGTGGGGTCCAGGCTGCTAAACGTCCCGCGTAGTGCGGTACGTACCTCATGGTAGGCGATCCTTGACATCCATATGCTGTGTCCAAAATTATCGGCCTCATGCGTCGAAGATTAATTCATGCACTAAGAGACACCATCATACCATCGACTGTTCCCCTCACCGTGGCTGCTGTGGTTTTGTTCGAGCCAGCGGCTCTCTAGGGCGCATCTTGCGCATTCAATCGTTCATTCACAATGAGTCTATTCTCCTGTCCAAATTCCTCGCGGGTACTGCTGAGGTCTGCTCTTCAAAGAGCAGTATCAAAAGCATCATCCTCTGCGGCCCAGCCGTTTGCGCCAACCCGATGGATTTCAAGCTGTGCGTCCAGAAATCGAAGCGGCCTTCTACCGTCGACCACCAATTGTCGAAGTGCCGTTCTTGGGAGCAGCCATACCTCATACGAGACTCGACGAACGATATTCTTCGATAAGACGATCCGAAACTATGAGGACTTGCCGAGAGACTACCGGGACCAAGTCGGTCTGCAATTCAGAAGCAAGGACTTGACCGACGCAGAGGTTGTGAAAGCGTTCGGAAAGGGCATCAACACAAAGAGAGCGAATCAACTGCTGCGTATTCTCCACGGACGCCGTGTTGCTGGCACTCTCGAAGATCCAGCCTTTGCGGTTCATACATCTTCATACACCAAGAGTCAGATTTCCAAGGGTCTCGAGTACCTACGAAAGTCAGTGAAGGTTGATGAAGTGCTGAACGCAGGCCTCCGGGCTGAGGATGAGCTTGCACAACTTGAAGCGGAGAAGGAAGCAGCAAAGAAGCCGAAGCAAGCTCCCAAGAAGAAGAACGAGGCCGAAACCGAAACCGAAGAACCACCCGCTCCAGTTTATAAACCAGATCCCGTCTATGGCCATAGCAAACTTGACGAAATCCGAGCTCAGAATGTCGCTAAGCGGAAGGCGAAGGAAGCCCTCGAGGCAGAAGCACGAAAGGCGGTCGAGGCGAAAGGAGAGGTGAACTCTGGCACTCTGGCTAATCTCGACCACAAGGCAGAGAGACAGATTGCCAACCCCAAGATTGCTGAGTACTATAAGAAGGCACAGTCTGATCTGGAAGCCCCTGTAGAACTCAAGACTTGGGAACGTGTTCTTCCCTCCGCTACTCTCGTTGCTCTTGTTGTTGGCTTCCTAGCTGCTGTAAGCACCGTTTATGAAGAGCCTGCTCCTCGGTACCGTGTCTTCCCCGATATTTCTACTGCTCATGCGACGCTGGGGACCATTGCTGCTGTCAATGTGCTTGTCTGGGCAGCATGGAAGGCTCCTCCTCTGTGGAAGTTACTCAATCGCTACATGATCATCGCCGTCGGTGCCGTCAAGCCCGTCTCCATGTTCACTGCACCCTTTTCTCACCAGTATTTTAGCCACCTGCTCATGAACATGGTTCCCCTCTTTCTTGTTGGATCTGCACTACATGAGGATATTGGTCGAGCGAATTTACTTACCCTCTATGTGGGATGCGGTGCAGTTGGCTTTGTGGGCAGTGTGGCTACCTATGCTATGCGAGGTATGCTAGGCGTTACCACTCTGGGTGCCTCAGCAGCAACTCTGGGTGTTTGCGCTGCATACTTCTGGGAGCATCGTCTTGATGGCTATAGATTCTTTGGACTACCGCAGGATGGTGTCCCGGGCATCATTTTCCTGGCACTCATATGCGTGCCTCAACTTGCTGCCTTTGGAAAGACGGTCAAGTTGAAGATTGACATTGCATCGCACTTGTGCGGTATTGTGAGCGGTATTCTCGGCATGGAGCTGATCAACCGAACAAGAGGTGAGTGGGAGAAAAAGACAATTGATGTGGCTGGTACTCCAGTCCGAACTGCACGATTGCCTCGACCTGATGAGTCGGTTGAGGGATCTAACTAAGACGAGATGAATTGTACGGATGAATGTACTATATTATTTTTTGCATACTTGACATACTAGATTTGAATGTATTATTGGGCTGAATCTCTGCTTATAAGATTTGGCATGATGTGGAATGCCGTGTTGTGTCACTTCGTGGTACCTAGTCGATTTATTCGCGCTAAGCTGAAACTAGGATATGGCGCTTATCGCGTCTAGCAAATCTGCACGGAAGCGTGCCAGTCCCCACTTGTGGATGTCGATGGGGTTCAAGGTTCAGGGCCCAAGCCAAGTGGACTGTCTCTCTAGCAACCGATGGAGGATTAAATTGTTTGGTCTGTTGTTACTGTGAATGGAACTTCCCGTGCCTTCTGTTGTAATTCGGTCCGGAGTGTGCTGGAAGCACCAATGCCCCAAAATGTATGTATTGTCTGTTTGCCTTCGTTGCTTGCATGCATGTTGCCCTGTTAGTCACCTGCAGGCGATTTAGTCAAACTGGTCTTACCTTTGATGAGAGGCAATCACCTTGGAACTATTTATGACACCCCTCTTTCCTTCAGCTTAGGCCCAGAAGAATGAAACTCCTTCTAAACGATCAACGAGGTATGTTGTTTCAAGATACCTGACGTGCTTATGGCTCGCTCATACGGAGAGTGTCTAGGGGAGGCAAGAAAATTTAAGATCTCCATCCTAAGGGATGAAAAGACTTAGGTAAGTTTAGTATATCTTAGTGGGCCTCTAGACCAGTTAATTTTGCCATCCTGGTTTACGGTCACAAGTTTTCTTGCTCCCTGAGGAGTATATATATGGTTTATCGAGATATTTCGTTGGCTAGCATAACACAGCACATGACCGAAAACCCCAGGAACCGACCTGAGGTATTATGATGGGCGAAACATCTAGATTAACTCTTCAAGTATTTACATTCAGAGACATTAGCAAATACAGCAGTTGAACCAGTTTCGTCAGAAAGTCACTATTTGCGTCACAGGTAGTCGGGTTTACACATGACGGTCAATTTCGATGTGAGTGGCAGACAGTGGCGCAAATTACATATATGGAGAGAAACGCTTTAGCCGATTTGGGAAATCACTTTAAAGTCGAATCAATTAAACTCGCATAGGAGTTATAGAGGTATGTAGAGAGTCCAGAGAAGAGCAGTGCCAGTAAATTGATTGTCAGTGTGACAATGTGTTGAATCAAGCTGAAGAGAGAAAAGGAGTGAGCCAATGGCGAGTTGGTGCTGCTCATAGCTCCCACACTCACTCACTGTATGCAGTCTAAAATAAGCTAAAGTGAATCATCATACCAGCCCCTCGGTAAGGGCAATGTCAGGATAGGGGTGGTGTCCAAATTTGGTGTGTGAACTGAGTCTGTCAGACTCAATAGTACAGATAATACCTCAAGTATTTGACAATGTTTCCTAACCGTAGAAACCCGGAGCTATCGAGGAATAAACTATCATCCGTTTCGCGGCAATTATCCATTGGCTCTAACACACTGCCTGTCATGCAGGTTGTGTGTGCCTGCAGAATACTCCAGCCTATCATGGCTCCCACACCACCTGGCACCTTCAAGGGTCAGCGTTGAATGACAACAGACAAGGCAGGGCAGGGCATAAGATCACGGCCTGAGCTGATGTCACCGCTCTTCAAACCCATGAACATAGTTGCCCTTGACTGTTCAGTAAAGTAAACATCAGCAAACCAACCTCGAACACATCACTCGCAAGCCCTTATATACTTTGCCCACCTTGAAGTTAAAAGCCGGCTGCTTCAAAGTTTCCCTTGACTCCATTTACCTACCACAAAACAGGACCACCTGCCGCTATCCGTCTGTCATCTGGCTGTGCGGGTGCGCTCTTTTTCCCTACGCTGCTGGCACTGGTATTAGTGGTGGCTGTGGCTTAAGCGCTAGTTGAAGACTCGAGAGATACTTTGTGCTGTGCATCTGCAGCAGGAACTAAAAGACCAGCATTGTAGACGCTGCTACACGCTAAGTCGGTAGTCCCCCCCAAAACCCGCTTTCTGGGTCTGAGGTGCATTCTGCAACTGCAACTACAACTCTTCCGTCATTTCCCCCGGTTTAGGCTTTGATTTGCCTCTTTCAACTCAAACCAACTCAAATCATATTCAACATTAAACACTTTCTCTCGCTTTCGCCCTTTCCCTTGTTGACTTTTGTTTCCCTCCTCAAATCAGCTGCGTTTCTTTTTTTTTTTTCTCCAGGAACTGAGTAGCGACTGCCTGGACTTACATCTGCACGTTCCCTGCGCTCTTTCATCTTGACTCGACTATAAAGACAAGCAACCGGCTACTTCTCTTTCTATCTTTTGCGCGATGAGGTAGAATTGGAGCAAGCACACGCCTCTTTCGCCCTTCCTTCCGGAAAACTCCATCCTTCCCCTGGAGGTGCTCCTCAACTCTTGCCGCACGATACTCAATAAGAGGAGCAAAATGAGTCCTTCGAGCCCTGTATCTTTCGTCCCTGACGGAGAAAACTCAACACTCTCGTCGCCACTCTCCAACCTCTCCAGAACACCATCATTGCCTTCGTCGCCCGATATGCCCGACCCCACGAAGCGCTATCCGTCTCCATCAACGACCGCATCGGGTCCGCACTCTCCAGATAAGACGTGTGACCTTCCATCCGAAGATGAAATTGTCGCCAAACCACTCGATGATTCCACTTCAGGGCCCCCGCCAGCCAAAAAGCGTCGCATATCTCCCCCGAAAGAACGCACTACCGAGTACCTGGATCTCATGAAGCCCGAAGATGAACTCACCGCCGAAGATCGTGGCCAGTTGAAAAGGCTTATTGACACATTGCGCAAGAAGAAGAAGATTGTTGTCATTGCTGGTGCTGGCATTTCTGTTTCAGCAGGAATTCCCGACTTCCGCTCGTCCACTGGCTTGTTTGCGACCGTCAAAACTCAGCATAACCTCAAGGGCTCTGGTAAACATTTGTTCGATGCCTCAGTTTATAAACACGATTCCACAACTCAGTCTTTTCACGCGATGGTCAGAGAAATGGCCACAATGACGAAAGCTGCTAAACCCACGCCATTTCACGAACTATTAGCATCCCTGGCTCAGGAAGGCCGCTTATTACGCCTTTATTCGCAAAATATCGACTGTCTTGACACCCAATTAAAGCCTCTGGCCACCGAGGTTCCCCTTAACCCCAAAGGCCCCTGGCCCGTTACAATCCAGCTGCACGGCGGTCTCCAGAAAATGGTCTGCACCAAATGCAACAATATCCGGGAGTTCAATGGCGAGGTTTTTGACGGCCCAGAGGCCCCACTTTGCCCAACATGTAAAGATCTCGACGAAGTTCGGACCGCCCATGCTGGGAAGCGAAGCCATGGCATCGGCAGACTACGACCGCGATTTGTGCTCTACAACGAGTACAACCCAGACGAGGACGCCATTGGAAATGTTTCAAGTGCTGATCTTAAGGCCCGTCCTGATGCTGTATTGGTGGTTGGAACGACACTCAAGGTTCCAGGAACTCGCAGACTGGTGAGGGAGATGTGTCAAGTCACACGAGGACGAAGGAATGGCACTGCTATTTGGATCAATGTGGACGACGAGCCCAAAGGCGTTGATCTGAAAAATTGCTGGGATATCGTAGTGCGGTCAAAGTGCGATGACGTGGCTCGATCTGCAGCACTTCCTCCATGGAATATCACCATTGGGCAGGATTATGAGGTATCCGAGGAAGATTTCTCCAAGGGTCAAGAGGAACGCAAACAGAATTTCTCTGTTGAAATTCCGGCGAACTCCGTCTCCGCGCACTCTCATACTGAAGATCAGGGCGCAGCCAAATCGAAGCAGGTAAACCAGGTGCAGGGTATACCAACACCTCATGCAAGCCCCAAGATATCGGCAGTCAGGAACCTGGCGAAGACGACACAGACCACGATATCTTTCGACGGCAAGGTTACGACAGAGAAGCCTGCACAGCTCTCCAAACAACGCGGGCCCTCCAAACAACGCGGGCGCAAGAGAAAGGCCCCAGGTGGACATAAGGAGGCGCCACTCAAAAGTTTCAAGGCAACTAAAAATATTATCAACCAAGAGAAGGTTGACGGATCTGCATCAGCTACTCAGACGAAGCGGAACGTATCTGGCAAAGAGAGAAATCGCCATCCTCTGCCCTCTCAGCGTCCTGCGAATGCGTCGCATAAAGAGACATTGACCGACACCAAGGACCTATGCGAGAAGCCCCGTCAACGGGGATCTGGCCTTCCTTCAACCCCGACCACAAAAATGAAGGGCACCATTTCTCCACGTTCGTACCCTAACAATACGCGACACCTAATCGACTAGGGACAGAATCAGCACGATATTATTCAGAGGAAATAGAAAACCTACAGGTAGCCCATGTTATTATCTGTATTCTTTAGCATTCATGGAGTATGGGGTTGGTTGATACCAGATGATATAAATCAAGCTGCGGTCGCTGGGACCGATAACACAGGCAGCGAATGATGTATACTACTATCCAGGGGCAGATTTGCTTTATTTGGGACCAAAGTTTTGTTAACGCCGAGGCAGCGGGTGCACAATTCGGCTTGGTTGAACAGAGGCGTTATAGGGATCGGCCTTGCAGCTGGACAGCCAAGGTCAATTACATAGAGGCGGCAAGAGATGCGCTAGATTCAAATATTAATTGCTGATTATTGAAGAGTAGCGACAGAGCAACGTTAATTGCGTGTTGAAATCATCATAGCTAAGACTCAAAAGTGTTTTCCCTGGGTATCATGTCGTATCCTTCAGCGCCGTCATCCGCCTCCACCTGCAATAACCTATCGTGCCAAAAATTCGTGCTGCGACTGAGCTCGCTTTAATCAACATGCACTTCGATCGTATCCTGAGCCTCGATCTCAGCCTCCTTCATCTCCACGTGCTCCTCGAGCCGCTCGCCATCCCACCAAAGAGATACCTCCTTGTCTGAACCAACGTCGCGCTGTTGACGGAAGTGGGAGATGAGCGTTTCGACAGTCGTCTCAGGGAGGATCTTGCAAGCCAGCGGTTCAACATCCCGTCCTTTGAGCATGATCACGAACCTGGATCTCTCGGCCGGCTTCCCCTCTTCCTCGTCAGAAATTTCACCAGCGTCGCGCTTCCGCTGGAGTTCCTGCTCCTGCTCCATCTTCTGAAAGAGTTCTGGATTCCAGGCCTGGACATTTATCGACGTCATGTTCTCTCTGAAGCCTGCGGACCCTTGACTGTCGCTCACAGCACGTCCATTACCGATTGGACGAATGCCCAGGCCAATTAGGGTGGAAGTGTTGTACACTTTCTTGTTGTTCCAGGTGAGAGTCACATCGTCTGCCTGTATCGAAACACCTTTATTCATTTGGTGTTTGACCCACGCGTCTCGAACTATGCGAAGAGGTTTGTTGAAGGAGAACCTCACTTGTAGGGGGACAGTATGCGGAATCGTGCTAGTGATGAAAATGTTGAAGGCCTCCTTGGACTGCTCCTCAGACTTGTTAGCCTGAAGGGCCTGTTGACGGGCGCGCTTCTCTTCGGCTTTGCGAATGTACTCTGCGAACTCATCCTCCTCTACCGGTGGTGGGCTTGGTTCCTTAGAAGGCTTGGAGGAGGTCCGGTTTGCAAATTCGATGCTGCTACTTCTCTGCTTCGATGATAGGTCGGTCTTGGGCTGAGGAGGTCTTGAGTCGGATTCCGAATCCGAGTCAATCGTTATAGGATCTGTAATTGGTTTTGCCTGTGGTTTAGATTCTTCCGTCTTTAGCTTTCGACTTGGAGTAGGAGAGTTGCGAATCGGCCCCAATCTTCGAGTTGGCGATGCATCTGGGAAAGGGTCTTCGTCTGTGTCGAGTTGCGAACTAAGTATAGGCTTCTGATCCGAGCTTGAGTCAAGCCTTGACCGTTTTGACGGAGGAGGTGTGACAAGTTCACTAAAGGAATCAGAACACGATGTTAGGTTACATGGTTAGCAAGCTTACCTAGTGCGATCCGCTCCGTCCTGTGTCAGCGGCTGATCGGTGACAGGAGTTCCCTCTGCCCGTCCAGGCAAGGAAGGAAAGCCGTCGCCGACCTTGGAGTCGGGGTCTTCATTGGTAAGCCCGTCACTATCTAGAGAGTTTTCTCGCGGTCGTTTCTCTCCAATGGCCTCAAGTCGTTTACGCTCAGCTTCCTGTTCAGCTTCTCTATGTCTCCTCCAGCGCCTTTGCTGATCAGCTGCCATGATAGGCGCCATCTCCTTTGCGCGGCGAAATAGAGAAAGGCCATCGTCGTCGCTTTCCTTTGAATCCTCAGACTGTGTTGGTTTTGGTTTTGGCGCGGCCTTGCGCAGCGCGGTGGGTTTAAAGGGGAGTTTCTTCATGTTCGCGAAGAACCTCTGATTAGCTTGCACGGAATTTTAATGATAGCAAGGCGCCAGTTGTTCGCTCAATTTTGTAAAGTAACAAAGCGACAGGCGCGTACAGAGCGATATTAAAAAAACCGTTGGGTCTAAAAGTAATGAAGAACAATGAAGCTGGAGGTTGGAAGGATCTTGCATTGAACGGCTCGAACCGCACTTTACACTTAACGCGCCTGGAGGTGGTGGGATGGTGGAGGTTGCCTGGGCAGGAAATAGAGACCTGGCCCGCTAAAAATACCCCCCCGCTACGTGCCTCTGTAACGGGATGTTAGGCAACTTCACAGCGGGCGTGATGCCCCACAGTGCAAAAAGACACCAGCCTTAACAACATGGCAAGGCATCAATCTTTCAGGCTAGACCCAAACAACTCCACAAGCTCTATCCAAGATCCATTGTCATAAACCACCAACGCCAACGACACTCAACCTCTCCAACCGCCAACCTCCAAACACCACCCCAGTCTTCACAATGGAGAACGGCGCTATCTCTCAGGGTGAGGGGAAAGACCCTTCAAGCTTCCTCAGTGACATCATCGGCAACCCTGTTACTGTCAAGCTCAACTCTGGCGTCGTCTACAAAGGTGAGTCTCGACGTCTTTGCTCATCGATTTGACGATGCAGCTGAGCGCCTCATATGCGACGATACGGTAGATAGGAGGAAGCTAATGCTCATAGGCGAACTTCAATCTGTGGATGGCTACATGAACATTGCTCTGGAAAAGACAGCTGAGTATGTCAATGGCCAGAAGCGTAGGGAATACGGTGACGCCTTTGTGAGAGGAAACAATGGTGAGTGTCACTTTGTTATTGAGAGGTGTTTTACTAATCGGAGCTGGCAGTCATGTATATTTCGGCAGACTCATGATTATTTATGAACAATGAAAAATGGCTTGGTCTCTACATGTAGATTTATGCTGAAACTAATCTCTACGACCTGTTTTCACTCTGGGCCTTCCAAACGTGACGTCCAGACAAAGAAAGTGCACCCATGAAGCTCAATCTCACCCTTCTCATTGAACTTAGCATCGCCCTCTTTGATGATCTTGTCGAACTTCTCTTTGAAGAGTCGACGCTCCTCCCCTTGCCGGAGCTTGTTCCAGCTAAGTGTATCGAATCTGTCCCACAAAGCATCAGGGGTCAACCAAATCGACCATGTGATTTTTTCGGTCTCGATGGGCGTGGAGAAGAAGGGCTTCTCAGCCTCGGCCTGGCGCTCAAGTACTTTCTTCCATAGCAAGTGTCGGAAACGAGGCTCATTGTCTGCCTTTTCGTTGAAGTTGAGCTCGCTGAGCTCCTGCTCCCATTTTGTGGAGGCTGGCCAGCTCTCGGGGCGATTATCTTGAGGCTATAGTCAGTCTTTTTGAAAGCAACGAAAGGCAACTGGGACGCTACATTCTTCAGCATTCCAAATCAATCCCAGTTTAGCACCAGGTTTAAGTACTCGATGTATCTCCTTGAGGGACTCCTCTTTGGCAAACCTTGGACTTGGTTAGGGCCTATTGCTAGTCCTTCGAGGGGCGACTTACCAGTGAAATGCCTTCAACATGTCAGTCTGATCTCTAGCTAACTCGTGTCTCTTTTCAGTCAAGGCATCTAACTTACTTGAGCCACAATGCAGCCATCTGCCCATCCATCTTCCAAGTCCTTCATTTCAGCTGCCGTACCTGGGCGAACGTCCACTTTGGGGAGCTTCTTGGCAGCAAGTGTGTTTCTCATTGAGTCCAGCGGCTCTACGGCAATAATTTCGTACCCTTCTGGCCGGGCAGACAGAAGTTCGGTGAACTTACCAGTACCAGCTGCTAGGTCTAAGATACGGCGGCCAGATTGACCCTCAAGGCCGAGATGTCCTAGAAGACTGGCGACAGCAGCAAGGGGGTAAGAGGGCCGGTGTGCGTCATAAGACTGGGCATCATCAAAGCCCTTCGTTGCAATATCATGAATAGTCTGAGATGCCATTTTCGGTATCACTCCTGAACAGCTCGAGGTGTTTGGACAATTTGCTGTTGATCTTCAAGTATCCTCAGTGAGACAAGCAGCTAGTTTTGATAGAGGAAAGGAATCAATAGGTGTCAGAGAGATCTTGGAAGCCTTTTATGTAATTAGCCAATGATCTTCCCCGCGCTTCTGGATCCTTGGATACTGGTTCTCCAGAGTTCAATGATGTGATGGCACTTAGATCTGGCTACCGATGTCGTTCCAAGACCCCAGATCCCGCGGGAACGAGCCGACGGATTTACGGCGGAACCCCGACATATTTCAATCAACAACTGGGCAACACTTTAAAATGGCAATTAAAGCAATTGTGTACTTGCAAGAATTCGTGATGATTTGCTAACTGCTCGAAGATTCCGATATCAATCGCCTTTTCTCTGATCTGAGGAGTCTGGGGGTCCCGCTTGGCATTGCCACGCTTCCCGTCGACGGCTTTCTGACGTGTGGCAAGGCATTAAGTTTCTCTGTACTGAGGATGGTGTCTAATACTGAGCGCCCTTTCCCCTGTTCGGGAGCTTCTGCCTGGCTCATGGTGGACCCTGGTGGTGTCTGTTCAGGGGTGATGAAATCATTGTTGCAACTGCTGGATGACCACGAACCGCTGTGGTTGCAGTTTGTGGGTGAATTCTGTTGGTGAATCGAGTCAACTTGAGTCTTTGTTATTGAGTGAGCTGAGTCGGCATGTTCTTGCTGGCTCTGGATACACTCTATCGAAATAATGCCATCCTGCTGGGATGTCTTTGTAGATGTTGGGTAGCTTGGCGTGGTTTCAGAGTCGAGTGTGTCTGATAGACATTCTGACGACCCTATGTCTATCATTTTCCCCTTTCCCTTGGATATTCTAATGCGTCGGCCAACTTGAGTTGCTACTGGCGTGAGTTGACATGGCCCAGGCGAATTAGGCCTTAAGATCCAGATGCCCTCCACCTCGACGCCGTTCAGAATAGCACGAATACCGAACGGAATTTCGGGAGCTCGCATGTTTTCGATGCCACAGCGCGACATGAGGGAGATTCGTGCACGCTTTTCCTCGTCGATAATCTCAAGACGGCGTATGGCTCGGTTAGACCACCATAGTTTCACAAGCCCAATGGCGAAAACAAGAACGATGCAGCACCCAAGAACCTATGGACTTGTAGTTAGTCTTTGATACAGCACTTTGAAGGTTCCAATGAAGAAGAATAAGAATTCAAATTATGGATATACGTACGAAAGTCATCTCTTGCCAGAGATCCCAATCAACAAAGAAGGCAGTCATGATGAGACTTGATGATATGGAGACGACCAGAACTCCAAGGAAAGAGAGTACAGAATATGCTTCAACTTTACAAAAACATTCGGACGATTTGGATGTTTGAAAGGCTCCAAAATTGTAACATGACAATCCAGGTTCCAAAAATGAGAGTGAACGGGTGATGCGTGGTAAAAGAATGAACGAGGAAGCAACAAGAAGGTCAGGCTCTAAACAAGCCTCGTGAGTGCCATCGACGGATTAGCACGTGTCATTGTTGATCGCAGCTATTGGGAGTGCAAGTGCGATGAATCGTTTGGGAGTTACCAATATTTACTGACATCCGTAGGCAGGTGCGGATAGGCAAGAGCCAGTGTCACTCGGAGAATAAGTTGGCAGCTCTGTGTCATTCGGTAAACACCTGAACTGGTACTACCTAAGCCAAACGGAACACAAGATGAGTGTTAAAAGACTTTTCCTGAGAGGGATAGAGAACACGTCCTACTAATAGAAGATGCCAATCAATACCAGATGAACGCGCGAGCCTGCATGAGGCACCGGAGCGATTCACGAATATGCATGGTCAACCTGAGTTGGATAGAATAGATAGAAGAGAATCAAGGTGACTGATTGCAAGATATTGAAGGCTGTTTGCCCAATTGTTTGGGTTCGATAGGACGATGAGCCAAGGATATATTAGCAGGTGTCCAATCAGAAGCAAAACTGCAACAGTCAAACCAAACACTATATCAACCGTCGTTGGCATCCATGCTTGTAGGCGTTACCCCAGTCTGATTTGGTATTTGGAGCATCGAAACATGTTTCGGGTAGCTACAGATTCCAGCCAAGTTGACATACCGTATCCCCTAGAATAAGGTGAGGGAAGTGACATGTATCTTCCGAAGCAGCATAAGGCAGGCACTTTGAGGTCAGTCTAAGAACATACTAAAATTTATTATCCCAAACGATTTCCTCAGCCCTCAGTTGAGCCTTCAAGGGACACTTCTTGATATATACCTAGGTAGGTTTGCATGCTGGTGTTTGCTGCAATGAGATAAGCTATGGTGTTGTCTCGCCCGAGTCATGGGAACAATTTTTTACAATTTCGTCTAACCCGTCTCTTCCAAATGCTATGATAGTAAGCTGAGAAAAAGCTTAAGATGTTAGTCTGCCCAATTACAATTGCTCGAATCATGTCACATCGGCGTCGGGTGCAATGAAAGCCCGGGACTTGAAATCGGCCGGGTGTTAGTGGGTCGCTCGCAACTCCGATTGAAGGCCAGATCGGCGTTTCGGGTGCTTTCAAGGGAGAAGACATGCTGAGGATCGATCCACCCTTTCGGATATCCCGGACATTGGCTCTGAACCATTTTACCACTCTACCACTGTTGCAATCAGAGATTATCACCAAAAGTCTGGTGTTGTCTGCATGTATGGGGAGATAACCAATTAAAGAGAAAGTTGAAATGAGTCCTGACATCAAGACCTGACGTTAGCGACCGCCAACTTGGAATCAATGAGCCCTTGAAATAGAGTCTTGGCGGGATTGGTCCTGAATCAGGGAACCATCAAAAAGTCGTCATAGAGACTGGACCATCAAACCTCCAAACATCTAACTTTCCCCATCCCCAATAGGATGAGGCACGCTATCTTGAAACCGAAACGGAACAGGATGCCGCAAGTTTGCCAAATTCGGGACAGATGCCGCGCCGGGTTAATTGCCATCTCTTCTGGGAGTATGCCTTGGTTGGTGATGTGTCGATCAGGATGCCGTCCCTCCTGCTGCAAGCCTTGATTCAAGCGATCTACTTACTGTATCGTGCCGCCAGCATCGCAAGCTAAACACAGTGTGTCGTATGGAGATTATCAGCGGTTCGGATCTTGCTTGTTGCGATTCCTGGTGTGTGAGCTGTTGTTGTGCCATGCCAATAGGATCGTTGTTGGACGATGGACCCGATGACGGTAAGCGTTTAACCCTTCCAGTCTTGGCAATTGTTGGTGTCAATGAAGTCCCTGAACTCCGGGGGGGGCCAACTTGGGACCTGACCCTAGTGCTGTGCTGATCTGCTCGGCTGACATGCAGTTTGTGAGATGGCTGTGTACAATACGCAGCAATGCCCAGCCAAACAAAGCAGCATCCGGGTGCGTATTCCAAATGGCAGGCAATGCTTAGCTCTTTAGTGCAAATAGTTGATGCTTATTTTATTTTTTTCCAGTGTGTGATTATCTTCAGAAAACATTGAATGATACATCGCCATATATGAAATTGTAAACTAGATGCCGAGGCCCTCAACCATCTCAGACTCAACATCACCCTTACACGCTGTGGACTCTCAATCGGTCCATTATCAACTCTCACTTGAGTCCCTAATCTCATGTTTCACACCCTCTTCGAAGGCGAGGATTTGACCCGACTCGGTGGTGCCACGCACACACGTATCCACACATACATACAAACACAATTCTCACTCTACTAATCGCCAAGTCTCACACATCTCACCCACTTACAGAGTTCTTAGCATCGATCCACAGGCCGTTTCTATGTTTCAATTTTTCCTATTCGTCCTCTAACTGTGCAAGCACGAGTCCCAATTCCATTTCCCCTTCCCATTTCCAGACATCCTTCATACCTTGTATCCATTCCCATCTTGGGGTTCCGCCTTCCCCGTCGTCGTCCCCGGCTCTAAAAGTCAATTAACTTAAACATCGGCTGCCCCCAAGACCCGTCCCCCGTTCCGCCTTCCTTGCTTTCTTCGATTTCATATTCCCTTTCCTTCCATCTCATTATTGTCCTGCGCCTGTAGGTATTGTACATATCTCACCAGTTCCGAACACCGACTGCTTCTCTCAACAACACCATCTTCTCATATCCCAACAATCAAATATCCCATCTATAGCGCCCACCGCTTTTCTTTCGCAATGCCTATTCGCAACCCTTTCGCTCGCCGCCCTGGCAGTGTTATCATTCAAGATGAGAACCAGCGCCCTGATTCTACCCCTGGCTTCGAGAAAGTCGACACTGTCGGCTCCAAGTCCACCCCTGTTTTAAGCATTCGAAGTCAAGGCCGCGACAATGGCGAATACAAGATGAGCGGTATGTCAACCGATCCTAGTCGCTTCCCGTCTCTCATGGTCCCCTCCTCAGGATCCCGTAGTGGGGGGCAAGTCATGAAGCGGCGCATTTGGCATTTTGTCACAAGACCAGAGGAACTTGGCTAATTTGTTTTTGCGCAACAGTTGTCAACGACAGTGGCGTTTATCTTCCTGTAAGTTGATTTAGCCCAACGTGCATAATGCCAGTTTTGAAACTAACGGTCGCAAAGCCATCACCTACTGAGGAAAAGGGCCAGTGGCCTCGAAAGTACCTCTCAACTCGCAACTCGACAGATACTCGAAGCAGTTCTGGCGATATTGAACATTTCTCCATTTCCCGCGAGTCCTTTGATTCCTACCGCCGATCTTTCGTATGTATTTCCCTGTCGCCTACTTTTCAAAGCAATCATCTGTTGAAGCAGACATGATTAGCGTTTGCTCAACGTACGACTAACACGGACATCAGGACATTTCTGCACGATCGCCAATGCCCAATAGCGATTTCCCCACGCGCCAGAGTCTTGACTCAGCACGCCTTCCCCGACTACCTAGATCTGCGGTCGAGCGATCATTCGAGCAGCCACCAACCGCCGAGGAGCGTTTTGAAGACGTTGGGCTAGACGACCACAAACAGCTTCAACAGCAGCCGGCTCCCCAGGCACAGCCTCAGAAGCGGGGATTCTTCTCCAAATTCTCCGACAAGGACAGCTCGAGCAATCCTACTGTATCCCGTTTCCTGATGCATGGTCGCAAGAGAGCCCAGAGTGGCCAAGGTTCGGAGCTCACTCCCATGGACAACGCATCGCCCAAGGTGGCTGTCTCAACCGAAGGTCAAGAAATGCAATGAGATGCACGGTCGAAGTTTTATTCTTCTACATTGTATTAGAGATACCTGGAGTTTCGTTTATATTGTCGGCGTTTTCGGTTGACCAGGTCGGGACAATGCTAGAATTGCATTCGCTATGAGACTATCCTGGGTACGCCTTGATGAAGAATCAAGAGTTTGGATGAATTGTACAAAGAGTACTTGCGGGCTGAACGTGGAGTTGTAATGCCCAGACGGACGAGCAGCATATGCTAAAGGGCCGTGTCCCTTGAAGAGGACAGAATATGAGCTACATAATGATAATGAGAAGACATATGTTTCAGTGTACGTGGAGAATGGCTTCGAGTGGTAGTTGGTCTTTGGGGTGACGGCATGACAAAAATAAGCTATGAACTCTCGGCCTCGGTTACAGAAGTATAAACTGAGTTGAGGACTAAATTTAACGAGCCATCAATCGAGTGTTACATTGTCAAAGCTGATACGATATTAATTGAATAATTATGTTTCAGGTAGGATACAGCACAACAGCGCCAATTGCCATAGGGCGTGACAATGTAGCCGATGACGGAGATAGTCCAGTAATAGAAACAGTAGAATTGTTCCAACGGCTGCATCCACTTGTCATTGCGTGCTTGTCATTGCTAGATTCCTTAGAGGCCCCGCTCTATTACTCGGAGGGCGCCAGACATGAACAGTTATAGAAACAGACGAAGCCGAGTTTAACCTCTTTCTCTCTCTAAATTTCTGGTAACTCGCCGTTGAGTCAATTGGGCTAACTACCTAGTAACTTTATTACTATTAGTATCAAAGATTGCCTCTCACCTAGACTACAGCACTTTATTAACTTTACAAATTTCATCTAATTCTCAAGACAACAAAAAGACGAAAAGAGACATCATGGCCTCTGACGAAGTTCCTACCAACCTCAAGGACGTCTCCTCGGTCCCAGACGGTACAGCCGGGGCCCGGGCCGGACTTGGTAGCTCCCTCGCCGGGCTTTCACTGGCATCCCGTGCTGTTCATGCCGATGAGGGCATCCAGTCACACAGGGCCGTTGCGCCGGCTATGCATGTCAGCACGACTTTCAGGTACAGCGATGATCCTGATGCGCTGAAGGCCTGGGATAATACTGATGTAAGTGTGCATCTTTCTCCTCTTGATTTGCTGGAGACGTCACCGGAAGAGAATATCAGATGATTGTGAATATCATGAGTTGAGTCGATCCCAAACCATGATAAAAACTCCCTGACTGCTTTCGGATTTCTTATGACGCCTTTTGCTAATTCGTGTAGCCCAACAACCCTCTTGACTCTCATGTCTACTCTCGAGCAACTGGTCCCAACACCACTCGTCTCGAGGCAATTCTCACATCCGTCATTGGCGCTCCAACGGTTACTTACTCTTCTGGTCTATCTGCTTTCCATGCTATGTTGGTCCATCTGAACCCTAAGCGCATTGCAATCGGAGACGGCTACCACGGCTGTCACGGAGTGATCAGCATTCTCTCCCGTCTGACAGGTCTCAAGAAACTGCCCCTGGACTGCGCTGTTGAGGACCTTGAGCCTGGCGATGTCATCCACGTCGAGACGCCCCTTAACCCTACTGGCGAGGCACGCGATCTGGCGGCATATGCAGAAAAGGCCAAGAATGCCGGTGCTTACCTGACTGTTGATGCGACATTCGCACCACCTCCGCTGCAGGATCCTTTCAAGTATGGTGTTGATGTTGTCATGCACAGCGGTACAAAGTACTTTGGTGGTCACTCTGATATGCTCTGCGGTACACTATCTGTTAACCGCAAGCACAAAGACTGGGAGGGCGCTCTCCTCAACGATCGCCTTCTCCTTGGCTCTGTTATGGGCAGCTTAGAGGGGTGGCTGGGTATTCGCTCCCTGCGAACCTTAGAGCTCCGTGTCCAGCGCCAGAGTGCTACAGCTACTGCTCTTGTTGCCTGGTTGGCTGAGCAGCAGCGTGATCCCTCATCTGCGATTGGTGCTCTCGTCGAGCGTGTCCAGCACGCCAGTCTTCAGCCCGAAGCATCAGTTGAGGGTAGCTGGCTGCAGAAGCAGATGCCCAATGGTTATGGCCCTGTTTTTTCAGTGTATCTTCGTGATGGAGATGTCGCTAAGCGACTGCCATCCAAGTTGGAGTTGTTCCACCATGCCACTAGCTTGGGTGGTGTTGAGAGTTTGATTGAGTGGCGTGCGATGACTGATCCCAAAATTGACAAGAGACTTTTGCGAGTGAGCATCGGTGTTGAAGGTCTTGAAGATCTCAAGAATGATTTGCTCCAAGGCCTGGAGTCTTTGAGAAAGGAAAAGGGGGGTCAGTAAATGAAGGGGATAAATAATTAGAACAGACAGTCATTTTTGATAGAGAAGGAAGGAAAAACAGAAACTTTTTGGTTTATAGAGAAAATGAAAAGTGCATCATGGAAATGAGTATCCCTACAATGGCTTGCATTGGTTAAATGGCTTGCTCGTTCATGAGACAGACAATGGCATGGTATATCAAGTATACACAGACCATAATGAAAAAAAGAGAAAGGATTTGTATGAAAATATCAAAACACTGGTCTAACACAATCAAAAGAATGTGACTATCCGGTCTAAGAAGAAATGCCATACAAAAGAGGGGAAACATGTCAACCAACATGAAAGCCATGTGTGTAAGTCAGGTAGGGTCAAAGAGAGGAGAGATAATGAAATCTAAGAAGAAAAGGAGATAAGAAATGAGAAAAATGAGGAAATGAAATAATAAAAAAGTCGAGAGGTAATGAAGAGTACTATGCTCCTCTAAGTGGATTTTTCTCCAAAGGTTGTGTCTACACACGGGGAATGGTTGCTCAGAATTGAAGTCGAAGTGGTGTTGTCGAATCTTAGGCCTTGATGTGGCTAAGCTCATTCTTGAGGGGGTAGCCAGAGGCCAAACCAATTGCTGAGTGGTTTATACTTGACTTCTCGGCTACGAATATGTAAGTTAGTCAATTTTCCATGTTATTGGTGAGTAATAGACGTACCGTGAGCGATCATTGTCAGCAAAAGAACCAACTCCTCGAAGGTCTTGCTCCGCTGACCTAGGCTCCATGTGTCGATAATCCACGGATCTGTTATCAAGGCGGTAAGATGTAGAACCTCGAGAGGAAGTCGGGGGGGCATTTTGATAGTGGTTATCATACGGTCGGTGAGGGATAGAAGTTCTTGAAGGTGGTGCGAGAAAGTCATTGGCCACAGCATGTGTCTGATATGGAGGTGCTTCCTGAGTTCGAGAGGGAAATGTGGGAGAGTCGCTGAAGGCTGGAGATGTCGTAGGAGTTGTGAGATCAGAAACAGCATCCACGACATTTGAAGGATCATGGCTGTATTGTTGACCGAGCCATTGGTTAACCATTGTCTGGCGTCTATCGTAGGCTTGGGGACTTGGTCTCCTCCAGGCTTGAGATTGGTCTCTTGGTGATGTGTTGGCTGATGTAGTTCTCTGGTAGTTGGAATCCCAGCTGCCTCGGACAGCTTCCTCGCTCCAGTTCCTAGAACTCTCTGTGTTGTAAGTTTGTCCGTAGTGGCGCTGGTGGTGGTCTTGTCGACGACTCATGGTTGCTGAGAGTGAGGTCGTTGGTGATTGGTTAGTTGCGTGTAAGTGCTTAAGTGGGTGTTGTTTGAAGGTAGAGTTAGTAGCGATGGTCAAATAGGACCAAATATGGATTGGATTGTTTGATGAATTGAATAGATTAACTAGTGTCTCAATGCATCTTTTTTAAAGATCATGTATTGAGTTTTCCTTGCCATATGTCACTTTCTATTGTTTGGATGCCTCTACTCAAGCATGCTTCAAGTGAGTTGCGGTCGTGGCTGAAGCTTCCCTATTCGCGGGGACGCCGGGAGGCCGCAGCTTTCGACCAATAAGCAGCGCCCGCTCCTCGGAACCCCAGTGATAGTTGGTCGTGGCCGTGCAGGGGAACTCTCTCCCAGGGCCTGGGAACCCCTGGAGCGGTCAGCAAGCTTACTGGAAGCAGGCTAGAGTCAGAACGTTATGCAGGGAATTGGAAACAAGGACGTCAGTCTTCGCAGGCCGCCGAAGTTGCTAGCCTTATTTCGGTATCAAAATTAGACGGCTTTTCTAGGATGGATACAGGTCCAGAGTTGTTATGATGAGGCTCAGCCAATGACAGGGACGAACTGGCTATGGCAAGTAAACTTGTGAGCGTCACACGATGTATTCTAGACGAAAAGTTGTTTTGTCAAGAATTTTGAGGGAGCCTGTCGATGTATCGTGAGGTGTTTGGAGCTTTGGTCGGGCAGATTGTGCCAAAGGCTCTGACGTAGAGCATGCATCTATAGGGACAGCCTTGAATATGAAAAGATTCTAGAGATAGAACTTTCAATAACTCGAGGCACACTTTAGCATGACAATGGTCTCGTTGCAAATACCCAAGAATAACCACGCCTTCAGTCTTCACAAATCTCCCATGCCTCGTTTATGAATTTCGGAGGCCACCAAAACCAGACATCATGAAAACCCAATAGCAACAAAATTTGACACAATCACTAACACTCAATATTCTCGGGGAAAGCGCCTCCCGATCGGCTCCAAGTGAACCGGCCAACTAATTCAGCCATCCCGTGAACCAATGCAGCCACATACTGCAGCATCAAACCTCCGAAACAATCGCTTAGAGGACCAGGGGGTTGTTCAAGCGCGATAGGGCTGAGCAACCAACAAACCCGCGCTTGAATGCTCAAATTAGGATCAGAATCAGGGTTTAAGCGCTTGAAAACCTTCGCCAATCTTGACGCTGGCTGCTCAAAACGTACATGATGTGCTTGGCTTGCTGCGCTTTCAGAAACGATCAACTGTGCCACTGGGCTGTGTAGGTGTCAGCCCTGTGCACGTCCCCCTCACGATGTTTCTCTGTGCCGCGTCAAGCGCAGGGGTTTGAGACCAGGCTCGCTTTTCATTGGCCAAAACAGACGCTGCAGAAGCGCGAGCGGGAGCGGCAGGGGAGAGGGTCTTGCAGCGAAAAGGATCATGGTCATGGCGCCTCATGCCTCTTTTTTTATCTAATCTCTACAACACCACCTTACAAACATCACCAACCTTCTCCCTCTTTCTTCCCAGAGGGAGCATGTGTAGGCTACAGAGTCTCATTCTTGGGACTTGCGGCCGCACTTGACCAGCTAGTAGATGCTCCAATGGTCCAATTCTCTCTTTTCCGCCTACCCACCAAGCTGCGGCGCAGGGTCAGGCGTAATCGCATGGCTACCCTTATAGCCCTCGTCGTCCTCGTAGGCCTCCTGGTCTTTCCCTTCTACTCGGCCTATTGCGTCTACAAACCTCCGAGGTATCTCATCAATTGGCTGCGGAGGAAGTACCCAGATGTCTTGTTCGAAGAACCCACCGACCAAAAGATCATCGCCCTATCTATCGACGATGCACCATCCGCCCACACCGATGAGATCATGCAGGTCCTGGAGGAGAATGGGGCCCATGCTACCTTTTTTGTTATAGGATCTCAGGTTGAGGGTCGCAAGGATAAGCTCGTCAAATTGGTTGCAAAGGGGCATGAGCTGGGAAACCATGCCATGCATGATGAGCCCTCCAAGTCACTCAGTAACGAAAAGCTGCTGGAGGAAGTTCACCTCGTCAAAGACATGCTGACGGAGGCATACGCGGCCAACGGTCATATCCTTCCCAACAATTACTTCCGCCCTGGATCTGGAATATTCAACAGACGGATGCGAGATGTGTTGGGAAACCAGGGTTTCCGCATCACTCTGGGCAGCGTGTATCCTCACGACCCCCAAATACCATATCCTGATACCAACGCGAAACATATTCTGAGCATGGCTCACCCTGGAGCTATCATTATCTGCCACGACAGGAGACCATGGACTGTGCCCATGTTGCGCACTGTTCTTCCTGAACTCAAACGGCAGGGGTATCGGATTGTTACTATCACAGACCTTGTGAAGGTGGTGTCGTCACAAAATCAAGAGCAATAATACCTTTAGACTCTTGCGAGCGTTTCTTGTACCTATGCATTGATGCGGAATTTATTGGAATGGTTGGATATGGTCTAGGGTATGGACCGGTTTGTCTGCCAGGTAGAATTAGAGTGTAATTTTTAATGACCCGTCTTCTTCTATGAGTTTGTGTATGTTGTATCTGGGTGATGTTAACCTGTGTCGAGTCAGCTTTGTTCTCGACGGAGAGAAAAAGTATTCATACGTGAATCTAAGTGTGCCGGTAACGATGGAACGGCAGCCATCAACGTATCTCTTGACGATAGGATGTGTTTGTTCTTGAAACTCAGTCTTCTGAAGCAACTCGTTTGCTGCTTTGTCGAAATTCTTGACTGCCATTTTCATCCTTTCTTCCAGCTTAGCAACCACCACATCCAATGTCATGCCAGACTCCATGATGGCTGCGACGGCATTGATAACACAATCAGTCCGCAACTCCTTCTTCAGCGACAGCATATCATTCATCAAGCTCTGAATAATGCTCACTTGTGTCCATGTTTGAACGATCTCTGGAGCTGATGATAATGCCTCTGGAAGCCTCTCGTCTATTGCATATGGTACAAGACTGCAGAGCATTCTCCCACCGACAGTGCCGATCCTCATCTTCATGTACGACTCATAATCAGGTATGTGACTAGCCAAGCGAAGCTTCTGCTCAGCTGCGCAGCTGTTGATGAAGAATTGGATCTCATCGTGTAAGAGGCGCCGATAATCCCTCGACGCCGTCTGACAGAATCGCGCACCAAACTCTCGAAACACGCTATTAATGGGATCATCGTCTGCTTCGCTCACGTTCATTTCGTCAATGACCAACGCCTCACGCACCATGCGCATAGTCTGCCCCCTCCAACGCTCTGCACGCGTAAAGTCAACCGCCAGATCGCCTTCGTTAGCATCAACAGCATCGTCCCAGCAAACAAGCCACGTCGTATAGAGAGTCAGAGCCTCGATCTGCCGCTGACGAGCTTGGGGATATAGTGAACAGACCAGGGAAGCAATATCGTCCTGTTTCCGACGGGCGATCAACGGATATGCTATAGCCATGCGATCAACCGCCTGATTGACGATTGGCGTAACGTGCTCATGGTGGGTGTTGAGTTGACCTTGAGGATTAGGCCAAGAGCGGAAGAGATTATGAAGATTGGGGGTTCGTAGTGTTTGGCCGCGAAGGGCATCTACTATTGCAGCTTGATTTAGACGTGAGTATTTCATGGGCAGGATACTGATCAATATATTTCGGGCTTGTAGTTGAAGATCTAGAAGTCCGGGGCTGGAAAATGGTCTAGGTTAAGTCCAAATCATGAGCCATTCATTCTTTGGACATAAAACGGCACAACGATGACCCAAATCACCGGGTTCAAGTAAATGGCTGAATCTAAAATAGGTTCCAGAACATTCATGTCCTATTTTGTAATCGAAATAATATAACCGGAGTGCATCGTAAGTCATTTGATTGCTGATGCTCCTTTTTCGTGTTTGTGTTATTCGGTGATTTCTAGCACACAAAGCTCTCAACTGCTACAGCCTCAACACATAGCAACTCTGGCCTACTATGATAGGTCACTAGCCGGGAATACGATGGAAGCATGCGGCGGTTTATCTCTCACACCCTCAACAAAGAAAGTCAAAAGCCAGACGCGTCACATAGAAAAACCCAGACGCCACACCAAGCTGCCAAAACTCAAAACCTCAACGGGCACACATATACAAGCAAGCACATGAACGAAGAAGAAAAAAGAATGGGAAAAAATCGACTCCAAAAACTACGTCAACTTATTGGCCAAACTTGGACATTTCTACGTAGTCCTTTAAGCCCCTACTCTAATAATATCAAATTGCCGTTTGAGTTAGAGTAAGGCGTGTTTCCGATCCTGCAGCGGCCCTTGTGCAATTGCTGGGGTCCAAGGGAGACAGTCCAAGCAACGAGCACCGCATGAAATGCTCGTTGCTAATTGATGAGCAGTTTCACAATGTCTCATTCTGCTGCACATGTATTTTAACCTTCAGATTGGTGCAGCGATTGAAGATCAGCAGTTTCAACTTAACTCAAATCAGTAGCATCAAGATCATCACTCTGAAAACGGAAATCGGAGTATGAAAAGGAAAAATTGCCGTTTATGGCGAGTGTGTAGGTAGGTAGCATGACCAAGTATCCATCTAGATACAACATCATGAAACAGAATCATCCAGCATAAGAAAAAGGTATCCATCCCATACATCCATCCATCCAGTCCTTATTCCACCCTGGTCCTATCAAACGCCCCATTGAAACCTATGTCCGGTCAAACACTTTGAGCATCTGAACATCGGACACGGTCCTTTCATTCAAAGTAACCCAAACCAAACCAAAACAGACGTGATCAAGAGAAAAATCTTCAACGAGTGAATAGATGCCGCTTCGTAGAGCAACCAATAACTATGTACCTTTTTAGTCATATCCGCCATTGTCCAACTGAGGACCCCCTTCTCATGGTCGTAAGATGTCTATTAAATATGTACTGCCGAATTAAGAAACCGGAGTGCCGGCGTAGAGTGCGCATTTAGATCAAATCCACTGTGGTGTCGTAGGCTTGGCGTGTGACACCTCAGGAAAGAAGCTGAGGATTAGGCTCTGAACGTCGCTGAGGTACTCCTCGGGGGAGAACTTGTTCAGACCTCTGGACTTTATGTATCGGTGGTCCTCTTCATCCTCCTTGGTTGCCGGCTTGGTGCTGTACTCTTCGGCGAGCTCGGTGACTTGTGCAAGTTCGTGACCAAATGGGTGTGAATCCTTGAGGGCTCGCTGCTGGAAGGATGGCGGGGGAACTGGGGCAACCGCGGGGATTGCTGGAACAGGCACAGGGGGAGCCTTTTGGGCCTGGCCGGCAGACACATATGAAGCTGATGATGCCCTCGTAGAAGTTGACGATGATCGTGAAAAGGTGAAGCTGGCCTTGGTTGATACTGAGTGCTCTGAATCCCTGGACATCTGCGAGGTGGATCGTTGACGGGCGAGTGCTTCGTAGGAGTTCTGCTTAGTGTGCGAAGGCGAACGCTTAGGAATCGCAGGAGCTTCAGAAATCTTTGGCAGGACAGTTGGCTTGACCGAGACACTGAAATAGGTTGACAGGTGGTTCGGCTTAGGACCTGGGCACTCTTCGATAGGAGATACATCCGGGCTCGTAGGTGGAGTTGACTCGGTAGTTGAAGGAGCCTCGGATTCTTCGCCAACAGATCGCAGAGACGACTTGCTGCGGAGGGCAGCATGCGGGATATCGGGGGCGTTGTAGGAGAGCATGTTGGTTGTGTGAACAAGCTGAAGAGGTGCAGAAATCTGGTGTCGAAGAATAGGATGCTGTCTATCGCGGGCCGAGTTACTACGGTGCGGCACCTGAACTTGTTGCTCTCCCATCTCGGTCTGGCCAGCCATCTTGGCCTTTCTAGTTGTGAAAGCGCGTGAGAGCGACATGGTTGAAAATTTGGAATTTTATATGTTCTGAGTTACGTCTTTTCTTGAAAAGCTTGTTGGTTTTTGGTCGGGTTCCAAGTGAGTTTGTGGGGTGACGAGGAGTTGCTGCTAGTGAACAACGTCTTGTGATAAGAGGGATCGTCGAAAGGGTCGTGCCACTGACTTAACACCGATTTACTTTTTGAGGTAAGTTTTGCTTGAAACTACTACCAGACAAGCCAGGTTTGCGAGCAAAAAATGTTGGTGGGAGGTGATTTCGGTAGACGTTGAATGCGTAGTGAGACAAGGAGTCCAGTCCTTTTGAGTTTACGAGTAAAGTGTCCGTGTGAGATCCGACTTCTGGAGCGGAAGATCAACGTCTGGCGTGATTCGATGTGAATGTGTCGATTCTTCGAGAAAGACAGTGATTTACGTTGACTGGCTTTGCAGTGACAACGTTAGAATGTACTGATGGTAAAGGAACGGTCAACGTCGAAAATAGGTGTATCGGTCGGTATCCGTGAGGTTGTTGGATCGATCCTGCGACGAAGGGATACAAAAAAAGAGCAAGAGTATAAATGAAGGAAGATAAAAGAGGTTTGGCAGAGGCAGAGAGATATCGAGTTAAATCAATGCACACTGAGAAGCAAACACGATCAAGAGAGTGATGGATCGTGATACTTCGTATTCTTGAGAAGAATTGAAGATACAGGCCTTTTTCGACGTATGCAATGCAAGTTTGTCGAAGGACAAAGACAAAGACAGAGGCAAAGGAGAGAAAGTCAAGCGAGCAAGCACTTGAGAATAGATGGAGAGAATCGAATTGAACGGCGGGCGTGGGGACGGGGGGATGAAACAAAAGATATGGGGACCCGAGCCCTGCTAACAACTGCCTGATTAGAGAGCTGAAGCCGAACTTTCGGGCAGTGAACAGTACTCAGCGGAGGTGGGCACCGGCCCTCACTGTAAGTTTAGCGCACACCTGGGCCACGAAGCCCGTGAATTGGAGGGCAGCTAAACTCAGGCTAACTCAGCTTTGACTTTTGGCCTTTGCAACGGCCCGGCCATCCCCCCCTGGTGGTTATCCCTGGACAAAGACCCATGTCCCTGCAATTAAGCCCTCGTTGGCCGACGCCCCTGGCTAGAAGAACATTTGAAGCAAAGAATCCTGGTCTCGCGTCAATGGGGTTAGCCAATCGCGTGTATTCTCTCGGTTCCTCTACCCCTTGTCACTTTGGTTATCGGTCCACTGATTTAGTTTTTTCTCTCTTGTCTGCATGGGAAAACCCGCGACCAGCGCCAACAAGAAGGGCGAAGGAAAAAAACCAGCTGATGTCCAGGATTCGTGGCTTGAGTGTCGTGCAGAGTCTTCTACAGAATTGCGTGTTTGCTATTCCCTTGTCTTGGAACCCGATGTCAGAGAATATAGAATATTGGTGTACATGATCAAGCCCAAGAACGCCAATGCTGATACACGATCTATGATACACGCGTACCTGGGTACCTGCTCTAATTGTTTCTTTTTCGTCTCTTAATTCGTTACAGCTTAGAAACAAACATCTTTGCTTTGTTTCTTTCCTTCTCCTTCTGCCTTGATTCCTCGACCAGACCAAATGGTGAGGCCTTTGTTTCCCAGCTAACACATGCACGTCTATGTTGGCTTCCCACCAGCATGGAGCTCTCTCTCGGGCCATTCACCATCAATCTTGACCCTCCATCCTCAACATATCCCACCATTCATGGCGACGACATGACCCGCGCGCTACAGCAGAGCAAAGCAAAACAAAGCAAGGAGGACCCATTTGAGCGATGAACGGGGCCGACATGGAAAAATTCTATTCTATCAATCGGGTTTCACCGATCGCCAGGGGATGGATGCAAGCACTCAACTGCAGTGCAGTGCAGACGCCCAATTCTTCTTTGACAGCTTGGCTGAACCGGATGCAGAATACGCGTTCGTATGTGATGAGTTGTTATTGCATGGCCAGCTCATAATTGAAGATCATCACAAAGAGTTGAGTGAATTGTACATCGACACACAAAAGCCACACCGTCCACGTCTCGTCCCCATTACCTGAGAAAAGGACCTTGACACAGTAATTGAGTCGTGGCCACGGCCTTTCGGAAATGACTGGAGCTTCCTCAGGAATATTAAGGAATAAGCCTTCAGAGTCTGGTTGGCTATTCTCCCTCAATCAACTCGTCTCTAAGCCTCAAGAAGCCCTTGATTGGGTCAACGGCTTCAGCGCCATTACCGTTTTCTCCTGTTTCAGGCCCCTGTGCCTGCGCAAGCGGATCCAACTAGAGCCCTGAACTGTGATGTGATGGCGTCTAAGTCTGTAGGGAACCATGAGATGCCTTAATAGACAGGCTGTTTTTCTGCCTGACCCTGTTCCTGGCCTTAATGCCGTGTGTTTTGGGGGCTGGTAGATCCTCCGCTTTCGATAAACGAATGTTGAGCATGGCATGGTCACAGCTTTGTCTACTCCACTTGTGAGAGGATTACTCATCGATTTTATACCTTGAATAGGTAAATTGCTGGATCATAAGAATTTGTGTAAATACACGATATTGAATCTTCAACGTTTGTCTTCAGAAACCTCTCTTTCATGTAATAACTATCGTTAGCATCTTCTTGTGGATCCTTTGCACTGGCATCATCCGCCCTTCGAACTGACTCTTATGGACCCAGCGCACAGAAGTCTCATTTCGAAATGTCCACCCTCACGTACGTTTCTTCTTGGACTGTCTGAGATTACACTTTGACAATGCGTTCGCACGACTCAGTGCCACCGTCATATTTTCGACGCCTGTGACGTACGAACGTCTGTTCTCAGACAACCTAAAGATGACGGCTTGGTTCGTGAGCCATCTCAGACCATCCAAGAGGACCCTTAATTTTCCCCTTCCACTAGGTATCTTATCATGCTAACATATTGTTTCTATGCTCATCTAGTTTCATTCACTAAAAAAAGAACTCGAGATTGTTTGAAGATCAGATCCAACTTTTCCATTCCTGTTCAGAAACCTCGTCTATCTAGTCGATTTGTATGCCCCCAATATTCCATCCCGCTGTGAAACAGTTCCTGTGCGCCAGTGTGCTTCATTCATGCAGAGTAGTCTTTTCTCGGGAGCCACCCTCCAGAGTGGGCAAGACATGGTCCTCGCTATTATCGACCATTGTCAGTGCTCTCTAGGGCTCGCCGCGCCATTGTTCGCTGAGACATTGATCTCATCCAGCCTCAGCCAAGGCCGTAGATCTGCCCGAAATCTTGATTCGAAACGTTTTCAATAAACAAGACATTCGTCTAGTCCTCATCCATCGAATCATCATTATCCTGCTTGTCATCTTCATCATCGTCATCGTCGGAGCTGTCATCGTTGTTGACACCCACGAGACGATCTTCACCCTTCCCGCGCTGCTCGGGCACCCGCTGAGCAAAGGCCTTGCGCACCGACGCGTTGGTGCTGGTGTCCCATACGTGCATTGTGCCCTTGCTGCCGGCGACGGCGAGGCGGAAGGCAACCTCCGGGTCGGGCGCGAACGTGGTGGAGAAGACCTTTCCGACGTCGAGGTTGCGCGAAACCACCACCGAGGGTCCTGTGGGCTGGATGTTCCACAGCTTGACCGTCTTGTCGGTCGAGCCGGTCACCATGTAACCGGGGACCACGGGGTTGATGTCGAACGAAGACACAGACTCGTCGTGAGCCTGTAGCGTCCAGACAGCCTTGGTGCCAGTAGGGTCGGACGGCGCATTGCGGACGTCGTGGTAGTGAATAACACCGTTCTCCGTCGACACGAAGAAGAAGTTCGGGTCGTGAGGGTCCCATCGCACATTCTCGACGTCGCTCTCGACGCCCCATCGGGGAGGCTTCGCATCTGGCGCACGCATATCGGCAGCCACCACAGTTCGGTCGTAAGAGCCGCTCAGCAGGACGGTAGGCTCATTCGCATGCCACGCAAGTGAGCACACCTTGTCGGTGTGATAAGTATACGACTTGGCGCACTTTGTCGTGTTGAGATCCCACAGCTTGACCGTCTTGTCGGCAGAGGCTGAAGCCATCAGGTTGCGATGCTTGCGGTTCGCAGCCAACGACAAGACAGCGTCAACGTGGTACTCATCGTTGGACTTCTTAGACTTCTTCTTCTTCTTTTTCGACTTCTTCTCCTCCTCGTTGCCTCCTTGGCCGAGGATCGCATTGGGATACATGCAGTCGATGGTGTCCAGATCCCACACCTCAATATCGGGGTCCATTGTGCCGACGGCGACGAAGTTGCCTGCCGAGTCCTTCTCTACACCGGCCTTGTTGACGGGCATGTCGATCCACTCGACACACAGAGGGATGGCGGGGAGCATGATGTCGTGGTGGACATAAAGGTTGTCAGCCTCATCCTCGTAAACGAAAACCTCGAGGTGTGCCATCTCGTCTTCCACCTTGGCAGCCACAATGAGGTTGTCCGTCGCAAGAATTTGGAGCTCTTCCCGGTCTTCATCCTCCTGTTCCTTGTCGGCGTCAATTGTGATGTAGGGGTCGTCCTTATTCGACTCGTAGTATGCCAGCGACTTGATGTTCCCAAACATGCCCATGCCCTCGCCGTTTCCAGGCACGTCCTCATCGTCATCGTTGTCGTAGTTTTCCAAATCATATTCTTTTAGGTCATCATCATTAAGGTTGATCCTGAGCGCTTCAGTCAGTCTGTCCTCGACTTCTTACATATCTGTTAATTACGTACTCTGTCTTCTCAGCTGGCTTGTCTTCATCAATCTTCATCTCTGAGTCCTCCTCCTTGTCCTCAGTCTTGTCAGCCTTCGCGCCCTTCTGCGCAGCTTCAGCTTCCTCAAGGTCCTCTTGAGCGTCGTCGAGTTGGAGCTTGGCAAGCTCCGCTATCCGCTCAAACTCTGCCTCGTCCAGGGTATACTTCTGAGGGAAAGGCGCAGCGAAGCCCCTAGGGACCCATTGCGCGGCTGTAATCATGGAAGACATGGTGATTGTCTGGGTATCTTAAAATGGTGTTGTGAAAGTCCAGCTTGCGTCGATAGGTGGGCGCCCAGATAAATTTCTCCCAAAATTTCTAGTGGGGTTTATCGATAAGCAGCCTACCCACCAGGGGACCTTGGCTAGGGGAGGCAAGAAAACTTAGGACCTCGATCCCATCCCGACAAGATTTGGGTAAGTTAGCATAATCTTGGGAGCTCTTTAACAAGTGATGCTAGTATCCTATCTTAAGGCCTGAAGTTTTCTTGCCCCCTGGAGCTCGGCTAGAGAGTGCAAGGTATTATTATTTACTATAATAGTATCGACATGAGTTGAAAAGATGTAATCATAAGATTAGTATATTTAATCATGATATTAGGATTAAGAAGTAAAGCAAGTAAGAACTATTGTACTGTGTATGTTTTATGAAGATATAACCATAAGCCTGAAACTATCGCTATATAGAATTACAAGCAACCAAGCTTAGGCTTGAATAATAGAAACTCATCTAAGGTACTGTTTAAAACCCTCTACCACGTCTCTTTAGGACAGGCTTTTTAACTGCACCTTGTGTTACGAACTTCTTACCGTCCGCCCCTATCTTCTTGCTCTTCTTTTGAGTCCGTTCTTCTTCCATCTGTTTCCTTTCTTCGTCCTTTCGCTTGTCGTCAGCCATCTTGGCTTCAATCTCCATCTTTCGGTTGAATTCTGTTTCAGTGATTCGTTTATCTCGTACCGAGTAGCCCTTTTCCTTGACCGAGTAGAAGACACCACCGAGGTCTGCAAGCCAGTGGGGATCCACGGCTGTTACTGTCGAGACATAGACCTTGGAGGTGAGGATCAACTCGTGGTAAACGATATAATCCGGTGGGTGCCCTGCATATAACGCGCTTGTCGGATGCAGCTGTACACCAAGGTTGGTGCGCAGGTTGATATACTCGCCTGAGCCTTTGTATTTGGCTGCTTGGTGGTAGTACCCCGAGCAAATGCACTTGCGCACAATGTCCCAGTCCATTCCACAACTCGTCAGTTCCATCTTTTGCATACGAACAATATCCAAAAGCTGTTCACGAATTTCCTTGGCTCGCCTTAACGACTTTGGGTGCAGAAAGTGCTTCACACACCAGCCGTCAGAGTAGCCGTTGGCCTTCCAGTTTGTGTAAACCTGGAGGTATGTCAAATGATCTGACTCATGCACCCAGAATTTCTCGCGGGCAGCATCGGCTTCGTCCTGTCTCTCCTTTGGTCGGTAAAACACGTTTGGCACAGACAGCATAGAAACAATGGTAATCATCTCTTCGCTGCAGCCGTACTCTTCCGCTGTGATGAGAAGCTTGGCCAGCGAGGGGTCCATAGGGAAAGCACTCATTTTCCTTCCAAGATCAGTAAGTTCACCAAGATTGTCAAGTGCACCAAGCGCCCATAAGTCAAACATTGACGTTGTAATAGTGTCTTGTGGCGGAGGGTCCATGAAATCAAAGTCCAAAAGGTCCTTGACGCCGAGAGACTTCAACATCAGAACAGTGTTAGCAAGGTTCGTGCGCTGGATTTCAGGAATAGTCTGTAAGTATAGATCTTCCTTGAACTCTTTTTCTGAGTACAGCCGAAAGGCCTTTCCAGGCCCCGTTCGACCGGCTCGTCCCGAACGTTGCGAAGCGTTGGCCTGCGAGATAGGCGTGATCTGAAGCGTGTCCATGCCGATTTTCGGATTGTAGACCTTCATCTTGGAGTAGCCAGCATCCACGACGTATTTGATACCATCAACTGTCAGACTGGTTTCAGCAATATTGGTGGCAACAATGCATTTCCGTACACCAGGGGCAGCCTTGTCAAAAATCTTTGCTTGTAGATCTGCAGGCATTTGACTGTAGATAGGCAAGATACTCAGCTTCGGGGGGTCGTTGAGGGCGTCAAGTCGTTTCTGGATAAGTTCGCAAGTAATTTCAATGTCTTCTTGACCTGTCATGAACACCAGAATATCGCCGGGGCCCATTGAAACATGGATTGACAATACTTGGTGCACTGCCTGGTCCACATAATCCTCAACGGGAGACCGATGGAACATAACATCAACTGGGAAAGTTCGTCCAGGAATGATAAACTCGGGTGCACCACCAAAGAAATCCGAGAAGCGTTTCGAGTTCATGGTGGCTGATGTGACGATGAGCTTCAGGTCGCGACGCCTCTGTAATATCTTCTTGAACAAACCCATCAGAATATCTGTGTTCAGGGCACGCTCGTGGGCTTCGTCCATGATGACACATGAATATCGATCCAGGTCAGGCTCGTTGAGAGATTCTCGCAAGAGAACACCGTCAGTCATGTATTTGATGACTGTCTCTTTGCTGGTACAGTCTTCAAATCGAATCGCGTAACCCACTGTGCTTCCTAACTCAACCTCCATCTCTTCAGCAACACGTTTAGCTACACTCATTGCAGCCACTCGTCGCGGTTGTGTGCATCCGATCATGCCGGTCTTTCCATATCCATCCTCTTGTAGGAACTGTGTCAGCTGTGTCGTCTTGCCAGAACCTGTCTCACCAACACAGATAACAACTTGGTTTTCCCTAATGACACGGAGAAGGTCTTCACGTACTGCAAACGCAGGCAGATACTCCCGTTGCTCCCGTAAGGTCTTGCTCTGGCTGAAGTTACTCGCGCCGTCGGTCTTCTTCATATGCACGCTGAATTTATTACCCTTGCGCTCACTCGGTTCGGCGTTATCCTCGGCAGGTACTGGTAGTGCAGAATCACCGTCTTCCTCTTTTGCACCCATAATATTTCCCAGAGTCGTTCCGGTCATGCTTGTGGCTTCCTTGGCCTGCCGTTGACGTTCTCTCTGCTGCCGTGCTTCCTTCACCACTTTACTACCCTTGCGACTGAAAACCGCCATATGACTCTGAGGGTCTTTGACGGCTGGAATTGGTTCTAGTTGCTTTGTGAAAATGGTCCGTCCGTCCAAAAAGGGTGGCCGCAGATCGTGCACCAGAAGATGAACTCGGGTCGACTCATCATCGTCGACAAAGTCGGATGCCATATCCCGTCTTTGGGCGACACCTGATTGCAGCATTCGATTTGTTTCCCAAGCGTCATTCTCTCGGTTCCTCTGGTCTCGTCGCGCGTCGAAACGACTAGTCATCTTTTCGTGTCGAGCGGTTTCCTGTTGCTGTCCTTCCCAGGTGTCGTAGGAGGCGAATGGGTTATGGGCTTCATCTCCAAAACTGTGGCCACCAAATTCATCACCTCCGTACCAGTCCCGGTCCAACGCCTTCGAATCTTCCTCGGTCGGTCCTGTCCCTACTATATTTCGGGGAGGTGGTGTGGAAGCATAACGCGATTGTCCCCTGTGGGGAGTTGAGGCGCGCGAATCATTCTGAAACCTTTGTCGAGGAGTATCAAGTCGTCTCCTCTTTGGATTTGGGTTGTACCCATCGTACTCTCGATCCTCCGCCATTGTGTTGACTTGTAAGTTACCAATTGATGGTTGGATGTTTCTGTTGCGACAGGAAACTTAAGCTCAGATAAGCGCGCCGATAACAATCACGTGCCCAATTCACCTACAGGGAACATTTGACCATTTGGGGTAAGTATTTATAGAAACCTTTAATCTTTATAACTTCTTAGAAATAGCAGGTGGTAAGGCGATGTATCCCATGGAAGAATCTTTAAGCTCAGTACTGATATAAAATGTTAGAAGCGAAACTGTATAAATCCTGTACCCCTGCAAATATGGAGGATATCTTGGAGTAAATTAAAATGCACCATGTACTTTAGAATTCAGAAATATCTTATATCTACCTAAGCAATCTTCTAGCTTAACTTGAAATGTGTTACAGGACAGGCAATCCTAATTTTGACTATGAAAGGCAGTACTTAGACAATCTAGGCATGGTAATATGAGAGACTGTGGTGTTGCTTTGGTAACTTCGCCTAATGAATGGACATTTGTCTTGGAGAACCTTTCTGTCCACGCTTTGGTCATGCCAGTACGTGGTATTCTGGTAGATCTTATCCGGAGATGCAGGGTGTAGGGGAACGAACTGATGTAAGGATTGGAAATATTATCGTGATTTTGTTAAATAGGTTTTGTGTTGTGTCTCGTTACCACCAATTCTCAACGTGTAACAACGAAGTCATTCTCGTCCTCGATAATTTGCCGGTCTTCTTGGGAAACTCTAACCACACGAGCAGATCTTGGACCATTGTCTACATCCTTGAAGAATTTAGATAGAATTTCTTCACTGGCTTGAGCCTCGCCCTCGACCTATGAAAGAGAGTATATTAGCCAATGTCAACTTGCCAGGGGCTTATATGTACCTTTTCATCCTTCGTGTTTCGGCACCATCCCGTCACTCCGTACTCTTGGGCCTTCTTCTGAGTAAAATACCTGCTACACATCAGATCCGATGTCTCGAGAATCTATAATCTTAGTGATCCATACCGGAAACCAACGCCTGAATGACGTCAGTTAAAGAGAATACTATCCTATATTACCTTAGAGATAGACATACCTTGGACACGTCCTTCAACGGCAAAGTAGACCTTAACAAAATTAGCTCCTGGCCTCATAGTCATTGCGAGGGATCTCTCACACGTTTCGACATATTGGCAAGTCACAGTTTAGTAGGTGATAGGTACTAAGGTTGTTGTAGAATCAAACTTAAGCTTGAAGATTGGAAATAATTGGAGAAAGAGGCTAGAGATTATTGAGCACTCGGTAAATATGGGAACACGATGCTTCCCATCGTCTGCGAGGTATGATCTAACCTTTATGTCAACTGCTTGCTATTTATTCGATAAGTGGGCTTCCAACGGCTTACAAGGTGAAAGGTGGGCAGGGTTGAGTTTAGGTTGCTATTGATAAGATAAGCTCTGGGCCTCCACTGATGTCACTTATCAACTTAGTGCGTATCTCCACTGACTACCTAAATCAACACCTTTATCCCTTCAGTTTGCGACGCGGAGGTATCATTTATTACACAGCTCGCGCGCAGACACATCGATTTATTTATGGAAGCCAACTCTTCGGAGCCGGCTACAGAGCCAGTCCGATTCCGCGCTGGCAAAAAACGAAAGGCCTATCGCCAACGCGTCCAGGAAGATATCGCTGTCGCAGAAACAATACAATCGCCTCCTACTGAATCTGCATCAGAACCCAGTGATAAAGCCACCCGAAAAAATTCACCAGATCGCGCCCAAGATGAAGAAGGATCTGTCGCTGCTGCGCTCAAGCTGCGCAACGCGCGAAGAGCTCGGCTTGGAGGTGTCGCATTTCGAAATACAAACCGTCCAGACGATGACACGAACAACGAGCGTGCTCTTGTTCCCCACGACGCAGATGATACTTCGAATAACGAACCCATTACAAAAGGCGTTGCAGATCGATTCACTCACCAGACGGGCAGACTTACAGATCTTAATGACAAGCATATGTACGTAGAGGACCTCCATCTTCGTCATACCTTTTCCACCATGCAATAACTAATCATTCAAGGATGGACTACATAGAATCTCGACTATATAATCGTGCGGGCGGAAATAGTTCACAGAACACTTCATCTGCATCTACATCAGACCCGGCTCGACAACCTTCAGCAACAATGACAAACCACGAGAGTGGGCGGGCAGTAATGCAGGGCCAATTGATGGAGATCAATCTCGATGACCATTCTGTTCGAAATGAAAGCGCTGTTAAGGCAGATAGTGCGACAGACGGCGGACCAAGAGCCAAGAAGCCTAGACTTAGAAGGGATGGCAAGCCATGGCGTTCGCGAAACCGTCGAGATAGCGACTCTCTCAAACGAGATCAGATCGTTGACCAGATTCTCCATGAAGCAAGACGTATGTCCCTGATGTCCCTGTTCCTCGAATCACATACTAAATTAGATTTCCCAGTCGACTTATACGAACCGGCTCCAGAACAAAATAGCAGCACTGTAGGTGCCGACCAGGATGGCGCCGCTGATGCGCGGCTCGCCGAAGAGTTCCGGCAGCAATTTCTTGAGGACGTAGCAGAACGACAGCTTCGGAAAAAGAAGGCAACGAACCAAACAACGCGTGCCGGTACCGAGGAAGTACTCAAAGGCCCCAAACTTGGTGGCAGTCGTAACGCTAGAGCTCAGATGAGAGATCTTTTGTTGAAGAAAGAGAAGGAAGGGAAGAAGTAATATGGGCCGTTGAATTAAGTATGACTTTTTTTTTCTTCTATTTTTTTCTTCTATTTTTTTCTTCTTTTTTTTCTTTTTTTACCTGCGGCGTTGGATGGTTATGGTTTTGCATATCTCCTTTGTACCAGTTAAGAATTCACACACGTCGCATCACGTTCTGATGATGAAAGATAATCAATTATAAACGGAATCTTGGTCTTGTAAGCGTAACCATAATAATTCTGTTGAACACTTGCATTCATATCCATATTGACTACTTAGTCTGTAACGATCGATAGTGGTGTAGGCATTTTGATCCAGTGATCTGACCATGCAGAAGAAAACAGTCCTAAAAAGAAAATCTCAATGATAAGCTCCCGACATCCAATTCTGTGTAGTCGCAAAAGGACGACCAATGAAATAAGAAAGAAAGAAAAAACTTAGCAAAAACTCCTTTACCCAAGTCCCATATATAGCAATTTTCCCAAGTGAGCAAGGTCCAACATTGAAATGAATGAACATTCAGTCGCTTGGCAATAGGTATCGATCCCGTGCCGTGATTCGCCTGCCATCTTGCTCATGCGCAAGATCATTTGACTTCCGTCATATGCCAGAACGCCAAACCAATGTAATGTTAACCGTCAGAGAACCCCATGCGTTAAATCTTGACCGATGTAATGGAATGTGAGTTCCGGAAAACCCTTCATCTAATGTCGAGCTGGAAAGGCTTGAACCGCCCGCCGATTGTAGCACAGCGGGGACACTTCCTTCTTGCTCCATGCTCTGTCATGAGAACCTCCACACAAGTTGGGCATAGGCCACAGATACATTCGGTACATGCGTACGAATCCTTGAGTAGAGAAAACCCTTGACATGCAGCGCAGTATATCTGAATATTCTGAGCCGAATATGTCGGTGATGAATCAGAAAGCCCCCGAGTCCCCATATGAAAGTTGTCGCCGCTTTCACCACTCTCCACGGATGGAAATGGCTCTACAGCATCTTGGCCATATGATGGAGGTGTGAGCGCCTGCTGAAGAGGCGAAGCTTGATAACTGGCCGGCTGGAATTGAGGCTGGTGGGAAAAGGGCGGTAACGATGATCTATGCATTGAAACAGGAGACTGGGGTACCTGAGAACCTGTTAGTCATTTCAACAGTGCAAAGGTGAATACAATCAGCAGATAAACATACAGGAGTACGGTCTTCGTCGATATCCCCAGCAGCAGAAGCGGCTTGATCAGCTGCATCGATAAGATCTTCCCACCGCTTCCCGAAGTCTGCGGATGGCTCTGCTGACAAAGCCTTCCGATCATTGCCTGGTCTATATCGTTCTTCATTTTGTATTCGGCGTAGCCAGTCAGTTGCAGAACCTTTAGAATTCTTCTTTTTGTGGTGAGGCTCTCTTCCCCGCTTTGTAACAGACTGTTTGCGAGGCCGATTAGGTCCCACAGAACGCTGAAGAGGTGGGAGTGTTGAGGATCTTCCAGGTGGTGAGTTTGCTAGAATGGAAGGGAGAAAGTCGCGCTGTCTAGTAGATTTGGCAGATGAATAAGGGTCGCTAGTAATATCGTGATTGGAAAAATTGAGAGGCGGCAGTTCGATGGAAGTCCGTGGCCTACGTCGAACATCCATATCTGAGTAATATTCCTACGTATCATTAGCCCTGGATGGCGATGATTTGAATTCTTGAAGGGCATTTCACTCACACCGTCCAAGTCCATGTCGCGTTCACTCTTGACGCCATGAAGTTCGGCTAGGGCAGCAGCGGCACTGGCTGTGCCAAGCATTGGGCCAGCAACCGGCCCGCCATTACTGAAGTCATCTAAAAGGCGCGGAGTGCCTGGATTACTCGATTCGTCGCGATGATAGTTGTGTCGCTCGTGAAAGCCTTGAAGGTGGTCAATGGGCGGGGGCAGGCTGGAGTGAGAGTGGGACAAACCCTGAGCATTTGGAGCTGAGGTCTGATCTAAAGGGCGACGCTCCGATGGTGGAGTATTAATCATCAACAAGAAGCTCTCTTCTGTAGCTGGAAGCTTCGAGATGTAGTGCTCGGGGTGTGCGCGGCGGATATGCTCCTGCATGGAACGATATCTTTTTTCCTGCAATTGGATATTTAGAATCGAATGGGTACCGTTGCATGGTGTTACGAGAACGTGCTTCCTCAGATGGGGAACAAGTGCGGTAAGTGGTAAGACATGACGATGTAAGGTGGGTGGGTGCAGCAATGGTAATTCAAGACCAGCTGCAGGGCAAGACAGGGCAGAACAGCTAACAAAGGCAATACCCAAGGACTTACACCAATGCATCTCTTGCGACAGCTGGAGCCATCCTGGTTGCGAAGAGGGCAGACTACCTCATTGTTGGAGTCTGTAATAGAGAAAGACGACGTCAAAGATGATCGAGGCGGCATCTTGACCCCACCATACGTGATAGATTGCTGGCGGGGGGTGCTATAGCGATAAGAGAGTGAGAAGCGAGATAAGAGATGATAGCGATGAAGCTGAGCTTTCAACGAGAATATCAATTGGTGACAATGAAGCTATGCGAAAACCGTAACATTTCAAAGTGCAGCTCATGGACAATGGGATGAGCTGCCTTTGAGCATGGGCAAGCTTTGCTACAGGAACCGTTTCGAATTGGGCCAATTATGCGACAGTGGTTGCGTATACGATTGGGGCGTCGATTGAGATGGTGATGGAGGTAGTTACTGGGAGAGCGATGAATCCAATCTCTGGTAAGAATATCGATAACCGTATGTTAAAGAGTCTAAGTTGGATGAGAAGGGAACAGAAATATTCGATCGAGAAGGTCTCTTCTTTGGAGAAAAGGTGGGTTGCAAAGAAGGATGTATGGGGAGAAGGAGGGTGAGTGGGAGGAAGAAAGTAGAGGGTAGGTAGGTGCAGGTAAGTAAAGATGACAGGAGCTTGGGAGGTCGAAAAAAAGAAGAGACGGAAGAAGGTGGGAGGCAAAGATGCCTTTTGGGTAAAGCGTGTGAATGAGTAATAAGAGCAACAACGCAATAACGAAGAAAGCAACGGCCAGAGAGAGGCAAGAGGAGGGTGTGAGTCGTCGAGTGTGTGGTGTGCGGTGCTGCCGAGGGAAGCTGAGCTCGAAGATCTGGATGAGAGCTTCGCCGACCGGGCCTAGAGAGGCATTCAATATACTTTGCTCATATATCACCAACACCAGCGTCCGAATATTTGCGACAACTGCACAAATATATAATATTGCAAAGAAGCTCACAAAAAGGCAAGCGCAAGGAAAAAGCAGAGGGCATGAAAAAATTACCAAACTACCTAAAAGGAAAAACTCTGGCGGGAGAGGGCGTGTGGGCAACAGAACCAAGGCCAGTAGCGAAAGATTGCGCACAAACAAGACTCTCTGGTTCAATGTCCATTCATTGCTTACTTGACAAGGGACCACAGCCTGAGCTCTGGGCTCCCGACTGCCATGCCATTACTTGCAAAGCCATGCCTTGCGCTTCGCCTCCACTGCTGGAGATCTCAGCTGCCTCGAACGACTTGACCTCCGGAGCCAATAGTATTGACGTGCAGCTTTGGGGGTGCGGGTACAAGAAGCTGTCTAACAGTCTTCTAGGACCATCAGAGAAGCAGCAAAAAACCTCTCCAGCTTCCATTCCAACTTTTCATGAGCTCTGTATGGTCACAGTACGACATGGTTAAGGTCCTGTGGCTCCTCGAGCAAGCTGGCGAAGCTTCGATCCTGCAGACTTTCAAACTCTGCAGCGACGCAGTCATCCCCAAAAAAGATTCTCCAAGCGTCTGCAACACACCCAGTAGCGAAGCACAGCTTAGAAGCATCAGCAGCTCAACCAGGGCATGGCCCAAGCGCCGCGCGAACAAATCAACTGGCTACAATTGCAATGACTCGAGAGGGGCCACAGGGGTGAAGACAGTGGGAAGAGGGGGTGGCTGGCGTGGAGCTCTTCTCTGGACGGATGGAGGTAAAGAACCGGGCCCTTGACCCAAAGAATGCCGCCTGTAAAAGGTGCAGAAGCTCCCTAGAACGTGCAGGGGAAGCTCCAATAGTGGAACTGGTCCCTTGCTCAGGTTTGTTGAAGATCTTTTCTTTTTACTGATATGGTAGTGCTGATAAAGTTATTAGATCATAGCATGAATACTGAGGTTCTCTTTTCCTCTGAAATAAGTCTTTTTCGGCATTACAAATCATGTTCACTTTCTCAATATCTTTTTCTTGATCAGCTTCAGCAATTGTCCGGCTGCGACAGATCCAAATCAATGTCGCAAGAAAAAGCCCGGCGTCTGAAGGGTTGGCCATGTTTGACACGGCCAGGGTCGGCGGGGCCGAAACCCAAGGTCAACTGCCACTCACAGATACCGTTCCTAAGCCAACTCTGGACGTGGTTATCACATGTACATGATAGGTACCTCTGCATGACTCTCGCCACGGCTATGGCCACGGGACCTTGACTACACAGAACGGTCATCACTACCAGCTGGAGCTCAAGCCTTCAACCACGCCGGCTACTAAACCGGAGCTGGAACCTCGAATGTTGATGTGGCGTTTGAGATTCGGCGATACGCAGGTGTGGACGTCAACAGAGTCAGCATCGGAGTCGTCGACGCCTACCAAAATTTCAAACCTCGCTTTGGCTTCAGGGGTATCACGTCGGCGCCCAAAGGAGCCTGTTGTGTTTTCAAGAACAGTTGGTAACTGACAAAATGGGGTTGCGAGAATGCAGGCTGCAAAGGACCCAATGATATGCGGACAATCGAGAGCTGACCTTTGAATCAGCTTCAAAAACGATGGAGATTAAACGCCTGCAAGCCCTGTCACCACGCTCCCGGGTCTTTCGAGACGGTGACATCACCGGCCAGGGGAGACCGCCTGTCGCCCTACAGCACGGAACCGGCGGGCGTGCGCAGAGCCAGTCCGTTAAAGGGACTTCCACCTCGACCGAATTGTTCGACTCAAGAGTAACGCACGCTATGCCATTCACATCTACTAGGAAAGCGGTGAATTTTGATGTCTGAAACACCCAAGCTCTGTCGCATAGCGGCGAAAACGGAAGAAGGGGCAGGCTGTAGCTTTCATGTTAATTTCTCCGGGGTGCAGCTCCTGCAGGACCAACTGAAGGCGATTTGAAATCCGCCTAGACAAAGCAAGACAACGTCGCGAGGACTCGATACGATAGCTCATACAACCAACCAGAGTTGCGGAATCAAGGTCAATAAGTCCGGTTCTATTTTCCAGACCCTGTGAAGGCGGTGACCCCGCGCCATGACAGGGCCTGCCACCACAAATTTTACCCCAGCAGCAATCGTTAACAGAACCTCAATGTTCAGTTACGGTTATCAAATACAGTCCAAGGCTTAGCTCAGGCCTATGGTTAACTCAACAACAGTATGTAGTTGCTTGGATGGCGGGTTTAAATTGATATCTTATACCACAATTTCCAAGTCGACAGCTCCGTGGGTTTGCGACAGGTCGAAAGCTTGTAGGTCTAGCTCTGTCGAGGGGTGTACATATCCATGTGGGGGCCAACTTCTTTAAGCGGACCATCTTATCGCTGCTTCTTTTAGGTGCTCGACCTGCCAAAGCAATCGAGCTTCCAGTCGCCTGCATGCTATGAGTGGTAACACAAAGATCCAGGGCACGCCGGGCAACTTGACCATGGCACTGAAACCTTCCTCTCATTTCACGGCAAACGCTCTACTCAGATCAAACCCAAAACACGAACTGTGAAGGCCAAGAGCTGTAACAATACATTCCTTGTTAGGTCACAATCCTTGGGGTGTAAACTTGGGTCAACCCAGGCTGGTCCCATGACTGTCAAAAAGAGCAATAACCTTGGAAGAGCTATATATCCATGTTAACAGAGTCAACAAAGACTCGAGGAAGCTTGCGGTTCTCGGCTAAACGCTTCATCTGATGGCCGTACTGGGCAAATATAATTACCGCGGTAGCCACGGCCTGTTCCTGGCTCTACCAAGTATGGGAACTAGTTTGGCTGATGTTTACCGACCTTTTTGTACGTCCAACCGATACACTTCTGTCTCGACACTTCAGAGTTTGCCAGCATCAAGCCTCGACAACAAACCGTTCTTATCCAGACCGCTCGCTTAACTCTATCCCGATCATCTAGGCTTCGCCAGCAGTTTCACCTTGATATATCTAGTTCATACCGGAATATAATACGTTCTTGGACGTGTTTTTACTCTCTTGAGTGAACACACTTTAACAGTTGAGAATATCCAAGTCGCATCTGCAATGGCCAGGAGTGGTTTCATCATACCTTACCACTCGCTTGTCGTCTTAGTATGTATGGTACTCGTGACATGCCGCATGTCACGTAACTCCACCGGTATGTGAGCAAGGACAACTGAGTGAGGGAAAACTACCAACAAAATAGACAACACGAGACATATCTGCAAATTTGGTAACTATAACTGTTTCCGCGCCAGTCTTGAATCCAAGGTATTGATAGTTCTCAACATTCCCCCAGTCTTCCCGACGACGAAGACAGATGACGATCAATGACTTGGGCAATATTGTGGAAGTAAAAGTATAAGTACTCATGGTCAAAACCTTTACATTCGCAGATACTTAGAGCTCAATCGTCACTGACGACTCATGACGACTCATGACGCCTCGACAACTCATTCTCTATGTCATTTGGTTGAAATATATGTAATGCCGTTTGAATACTTGGAAGAACTACTCCATACATGCTGTAAAGCTATCATAGATGCAAGTCCGCCAATCAAATCTAAGCAACAAAAAGAACAACTTATTTGATGGGTCAAGTGCTATTGACTGAGCGCAAATGAGCGTCACTTGACGCTCGTCCTACAAGTCACAATCTTTAGCTTTGTTCTTGGTTGAGCTGGATTTGAGCTATTGAGAAGCTGAGGCTATCCCAACTTTGTGCTTTGAGACATCATGCCGAATCGATTCGAAATGGTCAGAAACGAACATGCTAAGCAATATAATTCATGTTTGATGTTAAGGTAAGTTTCGGTCTCTAAGCCAGGATCCGGAGACTCGACCTAGGGTATCTTTGGTTCATGCTATCACATCTTAACACCTCCCCAACCGCCCAGCCTGGGCTGTATCTGTCGTAAATTCCACTGTAACATACATGCATGGCCTTTTCCTTCCTTTAGAGTGCAAAAATCAAATGCACATGACAACTAGAGATCTCAATGTTTAGTTTAGCTCCGGTGCTTGCTTCCGACGCACAGTATTCCAGCCTTCACGCTTTCTATCGTCTACTTGAGCTGCTTAAGGATTTCTGTCAAGAAATCCTCAAAGCTCAAGGTGATGTAGCCGTCGCGATCGTCGTCATACTTCTTGAAAACGTCCGTCATACGTTTCAGGGAGATACAGCTCTGAACAAAGAGATCGAAGCTCATGACTCCCTCATTCCTCTTATCATAGGTATTGAAGAGCAACTCAACAAACTGGGGGCTTAGTCGGTATCGGAAAGCGACGAGTGCGTTATTGAATTCGGATAGAGAGATGTTGCCGCTGCGGTCAGCGTCGAATCGGTCGAAGAGAGTTCTCCATGAAGCCAAGAAGGACCATAGACCGCAAAACTCCTCGAAACCAATGGTGCCACTTCGATCGGAGTCAAACATTCGAATCATCATGCGGACGGTATGGGGGTCAAAGGCAGTCCAGTCTCCGTTGACAAGGGCGGCAGAAAGTTCCCTCTCGGAAAGGTGGCCGGTACCTAACCGGGGAGTAGTCAGCAACTGCTATGAAAGAGGCCGATGTGCGTGCATATTTATGATGTATTCTTGAATGGGAAGAACTTACCATCTTTGTCTACGGCGCGGAAAAGGGGCAAAAGTGAAGGGTCTGAACCACTGCCATCGATACCCGGCGAGGGAGGAGGTCGTGAGTTGGGAGCAGGGCGATTATGAGCCTGTGGTCTAGCACCACCAGGGTTCGGAGGCGGCGACATATGGCCGTAAGCACCTTGACCTAGGGAATGGGATCGCGCATCTCGTTGGGTGGGTAGAGGCTTGTCGTATCGAGGCTGTTGGTGGTGATACTGCTGTTGAGGGGCATATTGCTGCTGAGGAGGAGGGTGCTGCTGCGGTGCAGGTGTCCTAGACTGTCCTGGTTTCTGAAGGGCGCAATGTCAGTTTAGGCTTCTCAACGTTGTGATAACGTTAACGGTGCGTGTATTTTAAACATACAGGCTCTGGCTCGGCAAATCTGTGTCAGTTACATGGTCAGCTTTGTGTTGCATCGTGACGTGTCAAACCATAGCTTCAGGCGTAATCGCAGAGCCGCAATGGGCAAATGCGCGGGGAGACGAGGGGCAGTTTGGTTGAGGCATGGGACATACCTAGGGAGAGCATCCTCGTCGTAGGGACGGTTGTAGGCCATGATGAATGCGGGATTCGGGTATTCGCTTTCCGTTTCCAGCTCAGAAGAATAGGGAAGTTTATGAAGAAGTAAGAATAGAGAAAAGAGAAAAGAGATGCTGCGTGTGAAGGGGGGTTTTGAAGGTTGGGCTGAGTTGGCTTGGTGCGCGGCTGAAGAAGTAACTGGAAGGCCACACAGTTAATTAGTAGTTGTCCTACGTACCTTACGGACTGCACTAACAGTGATGAACCCCAGGCCAGGGGAATCTCCAGCGCGGGGCAGTGTCGTTTGGTTGGTGGAGCGCAGGGTGAGAACAGAGCACAAGAGCGTGGCTGAGTTGGTCTTGATAGTGGGAATATTTGGGTGAGACAAGATTCGGAGTTTTTGTTCTCACTCCTTGCGACTCGACCAAGTGCAATTAGCTAATATGCCAATGGAAAGATTGTTCACATGTACAGCAAGCACATGCTTTAAGGTTCAGCCTAGTTGGAAACGAGGTCATTGACAGCTATGAAAGACTCAATATAGACTCAATATCATCCCTCGATATCGGTTATAAGATGCAGTGACCTTATCTGCTATGGGACAGGGAAGATAGCTATGAGACTAGCTCTGGGATTAGAAAGCCTGACTTGCTCCTTGTCCTTCCGTGCCAAGACGTCGGGACCCTTTATGTCTAGAGATTTTTTAATCCGCGTATAATACTACGTACGGATAGTCAATACAATATTCATGAATGGCAAATAGTCCTGGAGTCTTTAACAGAGACAGGAGGTATGCTGACTGGAGAGCTAAAATTAGAAAGACCATAGGGTCTCGCATTCATTTTTGGGGTTTGATAGACAGTCCAGATGAAGAAAAGACCCTTGGGTAAGGTTCTCGGACACGGCAACAGCGGTCCCGTCCGTTATGTGGGTCCCCATATCCAATGACGTCGATGCGAAAAAGAGAGTAATCAGCCACTTTGAACCCGAGAAAAGCCTCAGCCACTAGAATTGAGCATCTCAGTGGAGGCGCGGAGTTGACGGGTTGTCGTTTTGGGACGGGAGGGGAAGGAGAAATTTGTTCCATTATTGTTCTGTGGTTTTCTCTGATCCCTGCCCACAGGCTTCTTTCATTCTTAGTGGTCATTACCTCATCAGTGGGGACAAGACACGATATACCTCCACTATACGTCTTCAATCCAATCTCTATACGTGGGCCTTGGTATCTTGAGATCCTCTAAACACTCGACAAGAGTCATTCCTTTATTGAAGTCACTTCAGTCAAGATAACACCCTACTGTCAACCACATCTTCTCGTACTACCCCGAAGCTCGGTCATCCCATCTAGGTAATTACTAAGTAGGTGGACGTCGACTCATATGTAACGGCATTATTAATGTTTTCAACATATAGTCCATTTCACAATGACCGATCAAGAGTCTTCACAACCCTCCGAATTCTGGCTATATGGATACGGGTATGCCGAGATCTTCCTGATATCAGATTCTTATCCCGTGATTAATGCCATTTACAGAAGCTTGATATGGAAGCCTCCGCCACATTTTGGTAAACCACCAGCATCCGTCTTACATGATCAACGGGCTTTCCGCTGACTCTTGATCTTACTTATTAGACCGCAGAATTGCTGGATGGGTAGATGATTATGTTCGTCGTTTCTGGCAGGTATAACTCCTCTTTGCCCATATCGTAAATACCTCCACTAACATGTCTTCCAGGCTAGGTATGCCTTCAAACAACCGAAGTGAAATTCTAGCTAAAAGCATATCACAGTGAGGACCATAGAGGAACCCCTGAGGCGCCTGGGCGTGTTGTCACTCTAATCGAGAGATCCTACTGGGAACAGCTAACCGATCGTCACGACTCTGCTCCAGAGCGAGTCTGGGGGGTTGCATACCGTATCATTCCTGAGAAAGTAGCCGAAGTCAAGGAGTATCTCGATATACGTGAGATCAACGGCTACACCATTCACTACGCCCCATTCCATCCTGCCGATGGCTCTCCCCCCATTCGCGCTCTGGTCTACATCGGCACTCCAGATAATGAGCAGTTTGTCGGCCCCCAGGACCCCCAGGAGCTCGCCGAGCACATCTTCCGCAGCCAAGGGCCCAGTGGCCTGAACAAAGACTATCTGTTGAGTCTCGATACAGCCCTCAGCGAGCTTGCTCCTGATAGTGGTGATCATCACATCCATGACCTTGCCCGCCGCGTCAGGGAACTTGAGAAGAATTGTGAGGATGAAACTAAACTCCTCAACCCAACGACTTCAGTTCATCTACAAAAGCACAGTACTGAAGAAGCCGAGGAGATCGAAGAGCCACATCATTAAGAAACGGACCAGGCGTCAAACATACAAATATCTAAATAAGTGCATATAAAATAGATGATAGATGCTCATGATGAGTAGCATACTTATAAATGAGCAGTTAGATGTCACTCCCCAAGTTTCGTACCATCGCTCCACAACGGTCACCGAGTTTGGTATCGATGCAAGGCAATCAGCCAGCGAGACCTCACGTATCAGAGGACACATAATCAAAAGAAAGGGGCCGCATGCAGCGCCATTTCGCATTTTTGTTCTTGCCCTACCGAGGCAATCCCTCATCGTTTTTTCCGCACTAGGTTCATTCGTAAAACGGCCGTGTCAAGATGGCAAACCAAACCAGCCCAAATGCCATGCCATGCCCCCTAAAAACCACGCTTCAACCGAAGTGCCCGGGTATAATTCTGCGTTTCAATATGCTCACCAATGCCAGACCTATCATCCAGTCGTACAAAGAATCCGCAAGCCCAGGTGCCGGAAGTCATCGACCATTGAAATTCCATTCCTCAAGGCCCCGTCGATAACGTTTCGAGTGCAGTGTAAGGCACTCCATTCCGGCTTCAAGTCAAGTCAACTAATATCCCCTTCCACCCTGAGGGGGTTGTTGCTGGGGAGGCAGTTGAGAAGGATCGGGGTATCCGAACTGCTGCTGAGGCATGAATCCTATATGTACTTTAGTATTGATACGAATTGCTTCCATGCTTCGTTCTCGGCGTACCTTGGGGAGGAGCGCCGTAGGCTTGCTGAGGAGGAGGGTATCCTCGGCCATAAGGCATAGGCGCATACATGTTCGGGGCAGGGACTTGGTAGCCGTGTCCAGGGGGGCCATTCCGTAAGGAGCTGGTCCTCCAAAGCCTCGCCCGTACCCACCTCCTCTACCGAAGCCACCTCGAGGGCCATTGTCGGATGCCTTGTCAACTCGAATGGTTCGTCCGTCAAACCTGGATATAATTAGAATCTATACCAGAATGCGATAGCAGATCCGCCATGAAATAAGGAACAAAAGTGACTCGTACTCGACATTGTTCATGGTCGCGATGGCCTTCTGAGCATCGCCCTCCTGGGTGTATCGCACAAATCCAAAGCCACGGCTGCGGCCGGTATCGCGGTCCTTGACCACCACCTTTCCATATCCATCGTTAGAAGTGATCTTATGGTCCAACAAACACCCGCATCAGAGCCACAGATATGCAGAACTAAGAGCGCTTTGCTTGAAGGAAAGAAAGGAACAGAGTCACCTACAGCTTCTTCGACAGGACCGAACTCCTCAAACTTCTGACGCAGAGTAGCTTCCTCTGTGTGCCATGCTAGGCCACTTGAATGGAATTAGCAGATGAGATAGCCGCAAGAGAGGCTTGAGACAAACCCAATGAAAAGCTTCGACATATTGGATCGTGGGTTCTAGCTCAGACGTCAGCCTCTGTTCACGGCAGATCACTGAAACAAAGATTGGGTTTATGGTTGTAGATGCGCCGCAGAGGAACAAGCTCGCACAGGATCGAATCCACACAGAGGAAACAGAGTCCTTGATAACCTCCCCGGCCTCAGCGCCACTAGTCTCTGTGATCAAGATGCCGCGCGTCGTTCCGCCGAAAGGCGCGCGCTTACAGGCACCGATCATGAAGGGTGAGGAGGGTAAGAGGGGCGTCGTGAGATAAAGAACGCACCTTTGTTGCGTCAAATGCCTTCGGTATCGGTGACTGCGTCTTCTACAGACTTGATCTTGTTCTTCAAGAAACTGAGCGCTTGCGCTAATTATCAAAGATAGCCAGTTGACAAGTGGTCGAGCTGAGGTGTAGGGAGAGAGATGAGGGTGGAGCTTCAACACGGGAAGAGGTTACGGATGTAATGAAGTTAAAGCAAAGACAGAGAAAGCCGGGTAACAAACAGGTAAGGTAGCTTTAGCTTAGCTTATATTCACTAGACGGCGTGGTCCAAGGCCCAAGGATGGATGAGAGGGGTCCTGAGCATGTAATGGAATAAAATGCGGGCGGAGCGTGACTGTTGATGTTATGTATGTGTCTGTATGTATGCACCCTGCAGCTGCAGCACAATGCAGTGAGCTGGAGGCACGGCAGGCACGTTGTTTCTGTAGTCTATCGGCAGCGGCGTTGAATGACGATGCTTGCCAGGGGTGTTTGAGAATATCTCGTTTGGCCAATGCCTGGTGGGGGGCCTTGGATCGGTTGATGCTATGTTTCGCTACTCAGGAACTCTCTTTTTCACAAGATGAGCCAGGAGTCTATCGCCATCGACACAAGTTGATGGCGCTTGCTTCATTTCCACCATCGTTCACAATTCAGAGCCAAGCTCCCTCCTCGCGTCGATCCCAGGTCCCCGGTGGGCTCATCCGTGGAGGCAGTGCTGATGAACTGCACCTTACCGTCACCGCGACAGACGACCAGGGTGTCTGGTCAGGACGTTTCGGACTCGGGTCTGGCAGGGGGAGCTTTCTCCAAACAAGCTTTGGGCGGCAGAAGCAAACACAGGGGAGCCCAAGGTGCACCACCTAAACCCACCACCCTCACCGTGGCCATGAGAGTTTTGGCGGCATCCATCAGCTTCAAACGACAGGATTCAAGCTCGTGCGGGCCTGTGATGACGACGGTCCTCCACATCCTGCCCAAACTTCTCCCCACAACCATCAAAAGCCAAGCACCGCGCCTAGGCTTAAATCGCATTCTGCCCCTAGGTCAAGCATAACTGTCCGACGATCTTCCCCCTTCTCATCATACTGCCACTCTTCAATTCGCCGCTTGCATAGCCCCCTTCAATCCACTTGAGCCAATATCCCAGTCCTCCTGCGTTAACTTTGGGTTGGTACCTGTTATTTTATATCAGGTAGCTTATTGCAGGGGATTTGATATCCAACGTTGTGGTCTACGATGGGACACTTCCCGCTTCGACAGTATATATACAATACCAAGACCATGCGCCACGGCCCTACGCTTCTTTAGGTAGCGTTCCATGCCCTTGGCGATGGCGCTGCTGCTTTCAGGGTGTTATTCAAGCCCCGCCTCACCAAACGCCTGTTCCCGACACGTGCTGCCCCTCTTTCTGACTGAGGTGGAGGGTAGGTTGATTCAGGGGCCAAGCGAGCATACCAGCATGGTAGGCCTACAAGACGTTGTGACATTGAAGAATTCATGCGCAGTTTATTTGTTTCCTGGTTTTCTTATAGGCCCAATAAAGATCTGATATCTGTGTGTATATTAGCCGACCTTGCCAGCTTCTGAATCATTTATCTTCTTTTTTCTTCCTCCATTATGGCCTGATGACTTACACAGCATGTAGTTTCGGGTTCTTGAATTCCTCCGAAGAGTACTCCGTATGCAGCAATTTGGAATCTGTGTAAGACAGACACTAATCCCAGACCGTGAAACGTGCAGCGTATCGAGATTCCGTGTCTTCGTAACGAAGAGTATGAAACAAGCCAGTAAGGGTATGCTGGAGTTTCTCCTGCTCGCATCACCACTCGCTTGAATGTTTCAACAAGGAGATACGGGAAATAGGTAATTCTGCGAAGCCAGCCATGACAGCGGCTGCCTTGATAGCTATGCAGTAGCGTGGTGAAACGCTAGATTAAGCATCAATGCGATGCTACCTTGGCAGCGGCTTAGTCCATTTCGGCACCCATGCCAAGAAGTACCCTTCGTAACCAAGATCAGGGACCATCACTTGGATCTGACAGGTAATTCGCATAATGGCTCTTGATTGGGAATCAGAGGCTGCATGATGGATGTTCCTATAGCAGAGCATGAATGGAAGCGAGCTTATAAAAGACGCTCAAAGAGGTGGCATCAAGGGGAATAGACCTACAGCACTTCGATTGGCTTCAGTCCCAATAACGAGCGTAGAGCCGCGCTTCTTTCGAACTTAAGAAGAAAAGGCGTGTAGATGAATGATAGACGAGGAATAACTCCGCATGAATGGCGCCCTTTCTTTTACCTATGACTTACACCTTTGGGGTAGGCACCAACCATACCGTAGCACCTCCCTTCTTCAATAACCAGACGCGTTGCGCGGAAGGTGCTAAGCTCATATCATGCTCATATTTGGGCTACAAACCAACACTAGGACAATGCCTAATATAAGCCTCTCAAGGCTTGGTCATCTGCAAATGCATTTCATCGACTCACAAGAGACTTGCAGGTTGTCCTTTCTGAAACTTGACCTGGATGGGGCCTCACCGCAATCGCCATCATTCGAATGGCCAACACGAGATCCGGCACAGGGTCTTGGAAACTTCAAATCATTGCTCCCTAGATGCTGAACCAAACAGGCTTGACGCGGTTCAGTCTTGGCTGAGCCAGGTTCATGATTATGGAAGTCACAACGATTCAGAACAGCATTTCGCGCAAGACATGGACAACGATTACACACCAAATTGGAAACCTCACAATCTTTCTACTGTACCGATATCTCGGAATCATCACCAGTCTCGTCGTTCAAGAAACCGAGCCTTGGATCAACAGCCCCCTTCCGATTTACTCGAAGACGACACATACTCAGAATCGCAGCATGGGCCTTCTCTTGAAACTGGATCTGATAAGGAGAACAGAAAGAGATCTCGCTCACACTTTACACATAATTCTCATAAAGACAAATCTGGCAAACGGTTGTTCGAGAGACAACCAAGAAGGAAGACACGCCCAGACCGATATACTTCCAAAAACATAGGGGGTAGGAGGGAACCCACGGCCGAGAGCGAAGAAAGGAGGCCAAGAAAAAGGCCCCGCTCGAAAAAGCAAGAGATTAGATCGAGTCGAGATATCATGAACAATTTCACATCTGGTGCCATCCCAAATACCAGAGTCACAGTAAGTATTGAAGCAAATCTGAGCCGATCTTCTATATCAAGTAAACTAATACTTGTGTGTTTTGTCAGATGAGGCCTAATCTTACCGCTGGGCTTTTCCTGAACGGTCGATCTTCGACATACGGACAAGGTATGCTACTTCATGGGCTCGATTTGGTCTTTTCTCATCATAACATAGTTACTGACCTTCCATTCAATGATATGACTTCTGTTGAAACATGTGGTGAAGTAGGAAAGGTAGAAGGAGTCCCCCAACAAAGTACAAGTGAGAATTCTAGTCATAGTCAAGATGAGGTTTCAAATGACGGCCATACTTCGCTGAACCCTGCGGAACCCCCCAGAGCCACAACAAATTATGGAGGGAGAGAAGAAGAAAGCCTTATGGATGGTGATTCCCAAGAAAATCAACAGAACACCAGTCAAAAGGAGGGGTTTGAGGTTCAAAGTGGCTCCGTATCATCGACAGAAACCACCCAAGCATCTGACTGCGAGACCCCTGAAGCGATGCTCAAGAGGCTTATTGAGACAGGCATCTTCGATGGCACAGGCATTTTTAAAACGACTTCACACGGGACTCTGGAGCCAAGTGTTGAAGATCACGGTTGCCTCGGCATGAATGGTACAGAACAATCAAGTAAAACTCCGACATATCAGGATAAGGGGGTAATGGCCGACCCCAGCAGGCAGTCAACCCTCGGACCAAACATACAAACTACCACAAACATTACACAATTCGGTCGGAAAGATGACGCAAAAGATGCACCAGCGCCAACTATAGTATCGCACTCCCAATATCAACGGGAATTACCAGTTCCGATCTACAGCACCTCTACACAAGTTCAATCTCCAGTTCTGCCAACGTCGGTAATTGAGAATAATGCACACAAGATTCCTGAAGAGTCATGCGTTACACAACCCCAAAGTACGAGGAGTATCTCTGCTACTAATAGTCGGAGGCACCCGCTCTCTCAAATATCAGAAGGAGGCGATCATTATATCCGATGCCTAGATCAAAACGATCGGCCAGGGTTTATGTTTCCAAACCTCATAGCGCAGGATTTCAACGTTGAGCACTTATACCACCGAGCCTCCACAGAACAAACCGAATCTAAGTTAATGGACTTGTTCGTTCACCGTGGCTTGCAGTCCCGCAATAACACGATACCACTTTCAGAGTCTCCAGGTTTTCAACATCTACACCAACCACCTAATGGGCTCATCGGCAACTCTGGCCTTGACCCGGCCGTCTTCCCAACAGCATACTCGGAGACTTACTCGGATGACCGAGAGATACAGCATGATAAGACGCAGCTTATACAGCCAGACTATGGCGAAGACGGTGAGACAATTCATGAATTCATCAAAAGGATCGAAGGTGAGGTAAGTATGAAATGGGACCATTCGCAGCAATCTATTGTTAGTGGCTGCATTGACGACATAGAGGAATGTGACGAAATCGAGGCGTTCGAAATGGAGAACAACGAGCATCTGTTGCAATGCAGCGATATAGAGCGTAATGCGACAATCCAGTCGAGCTTCCACGGCATATATTCGAGCTCTAGTCAAGGGCCAGTATCGGTAAACCAAGCTATGGCGGAAGATTGGGGACAGTTGGGTTATGAACAAAATCAATACTGGACGGGAAAATATCACGATGAGCACAAAGTCTCAGATGCAGAAATGGTTGGTTTCTGGAGGCCTAATCGCTGTTAGGATTATGTACTCCCGTCTTGAATCTTTGGTATAGCGATTCATAGCTGGATTAGGATTCATTACTCGGGTTCTTGGTCCTTCCATTTATTTCTCAAGGACTGAACATCAATACCACACTGTTCTGCTTTGGCAATAACAGCACTAGCTTTGCCAACAACAGGAGCATCAATCATTTTACCATCTAGGGTCCAGGCGCCTCGACCGGACGCCGAAGCCTTCTCATTAGCGATGGAGATCCTGATAGCCCATTCGACTTCATTCTGATCCGGAGCGAACATGCGCTGGACGACTTCGACCTGGCTTGGATGTATGCATTGCTTTCCGTTAAAGCCAATGGATTTTCCTCCAGCGCACTCCTCTTGGAGAGCTTTTAGCCCCTGCTCCCCCTTATAGGAGGTGCAAACCAGATCAATGGCACTTGGCAATCCTGCTGCTCGGGCTGCGGTGACTATAGCAGATCTTGCATAGAGAAACTCGGTCAGAGACGGAGTTCTTGTCAATGAGAGATCAAGGGCGAAATCCTCGGCTGCGAAGATGAAACCACTCAGGTAGGGAGATGCCTGGGATATCTGAGCCAAGTCCATAATGGAACGAGCTGACTCGATAAGAGCTATGATCTTTATTGGGTTCTCGGCGTCAGTTGTGTGCCGTTCTGGAGCAACATGTCGGAGAACATCAGTAACGAAGGTTAGGTCAGCCGCAGAATTGACCTTGGGAACCACAACAGCATCAACATTGGACAATGGTGCGAGTGTGGTCAAGTCTGAGAGAGCAAAAGGGGTGGAAACAGCGTTGATGCGAACAGCCAGCTCAGAAATGCCAGAAGGCCGAGCTTTGAGGTTGGAGACGTGCTCACGCAGTTGATTGCGGGCTGTATCTTTAAGATAGGGTGTAACGGAGTCCTCCAAGTCATAAGTTACGTTGTCTGATCTGAGACCAAGAGACTTGGTGAGCATCTTTTGCGATGAGCCTGGCACTGAGGGGGGGTCAGTCTCGGCATCCGATCAAGAGTGAGGAGTCCTGATTTACCATAGAGCAAAGAGCGTCGAATAATGGATGAAGACCGAGCAGCCATTGCGACGTTCTTTACTTGTAATCAAATACGAGCACAGATACTTTCCAATCGCGTATATAAGTAGCGCTTGAAAATGATATATCTGACAGACCGAGGTAGGCTGTCGCGACTTATACGCCGAGACTCGGGGCCCACCCACGGCAACTCGAGCTCATGACGTCCTACCGTATAAAACAAAATCTGCCATTTCCCACCGCCTGCCCAAATCAATAACAGGGGTTTTTGCTGTCGCGGATCATACTCCATCCCTTGCGCGGCTTGATAGAAGGCCAGCTTACACAGTGATTTTGAGAGTGACAAGTAGCTTCAAAGCTCAATTTTTTGTTTCCTTGTCACCTACGACCCATTCACCAACTACGACACTCTTTCTCCACGAATCAAATACGAACAGTCTGAACGAAAAAAAAACATAAATACTACGACCTACCTATTTTCAATACGACTTATTAGCTATCATGGATGCCACGCAACCACAGCCCGCGCCGGGCAGCCTTAGCTGGCGCCTCAGCGCGCATCCCATTACGCTGCTCACCTTTCTAGGGTTCCGGATATGTGCGTATCTCACGTTATTCTCTTGGAGCGCAATTGCTAATATCCTGCAGCAAGTGTCCTGATCTACTTTCTCGGTCTGTGGATCATAAAAAGCATGTGTGTATCCTCCCTCGACCCTCTTCAGCAGCGCAGAGCACTAATTTCGTTGGTAGGATCATGATCTTCATCATTACGATTCTTCTCCTCGCCGCCGACTTCTACTACATCAAGAACATTGCCGGTCGTCGCCTTGTAGGTCTGCGCTGGTGGAACGAGGTCGATCCTCAGACGGGAGAATCTCAGTGGGTGTTTGAGAGCAGTGAGCCAGGTACCAAGACCATCAACCCGACCGATAGCCGCTTTTTCTGGCTCGCTCTGTATATCCAGCCTATGCTGTGGGTTCTCATGGCTATTCTTGCTCTTGTGCGACTGCAGTTCTTATGGTTGCCCCTCGTTGGTACGTTGATAAAATACCCCTTGAGCCTGCGATCCAAAGATAGAGGGCATGGTTTGTATCTATAGCGGGTTCAACTTGACTAAAACTTGGTACTAGTTATCGCTCTTGTACTCACCATCATGAACACCCTGGCCTTCTCTCGATGTGACAAGTTCAGCAACGCCTCCAGCATCGCTGGTAGCGCTTTTGGAACTGGCAACCTGGCCGGAAGCCTTGCAAGCAACATGGTCAGCAACTGGTTTTCTCGCAGCTAGAAACAGACTGGGCTTCGGAGGGATGAAGCCTGAGCGAATATTGACTCCATCACTTCGCTTGACTGAACGAAAAAGAAGGACTCGGCCTGCGATTGTTGTTTTAGGACTTTGCAAGGCACTGATGCCGGTATGAGTCGTTGACGTTGTAAATCAAGATTACAGGGTTTCTTAATCACTGGGTACGAGTTTGCGATAAAGATATGCAGTTTCACGGCGCCTGTGGGCGGGAAATGTATGAATAATAGCTTGATCAGTTACCGCTTTGGTGTCAATTATTCACAATATAACTACAATCCTCTCGCTATATGGACTGCGCGACGCTATCAACGATTTCCCACGAATTGTGTTTATATTAGCACGATATCCATGTTTTCATAATCGCTGCAAGTAAACGTCTTGCAAGATATCGTATCAGGTTTTGGCCTTTCGTCAATCTCGCAAAAGAAATCTGTGGTATCTCTCTAGGCCTGCATCTGATCGACAGTTGGACCAGCTATACCGTCAACAAGCCAAGAATACACAGCACCGTTACGATGAACAAAACTAAGCAGGCTACGTGGGCGGCCCAAGAAGTGACCGTAAGAACAAGACATGGCATAATCCAAAACTCCAAACCCCATAACACACCCGCACCAGGAGTCAATGCCTCCCGACCCGATTTTCTCCGGTCTACAGATGGCTTTTGCCCATGCGAGGCGGTACTATCGTCTCGCCGCACGCTCAATCTCATCATCCAGTTGCCGCTCCTCTTCCTCTAATCTTCGAATCTCATCGGCTGTCATACCGTCTTCGACCAAGTGAGCCACGTTGGATGACATGCCCTGGGGTGTCTGAGCGCCGCTGTGTGCTGCACGATCATGGGACCCGATGGATGAACGAGGCACGCCGCCGGGTGGGGGAGTTGGAGCGGCACCACGATCACGGTCGAGGCTACCGAGAGCAACAGGCTGCATATGGTTTTCATCTGAGTAGGGTGAGTTGGGTGAATCGGTAGCACGGCCATGAGTTTCCTTGTCCACTGCGTATGTTTGCTGTGTGACATACTCATCGCCAGTCTGCTTGCTGCGTCGACGCCGGCGAAGAAAGAACCATGCGAGTGTACCGATGATAAGGAGACCACCAATAACAGCACCAACGGCAATGCCAGCAGTTGCGCCAGTTGAGAGCCCACCACCGCCGCCACCGGAACTTTCTTCAACCCCTGAAGTCGACGAAGGCGAAGCAGTGGATGTTGCCGATGAGGATGACGAAGTGGTGGATTCCAATGCCTCTTGTTGGCTTTGATCCTTCTCGAGTTGGTCATTTAGTTCAGTGATCTCGGTGTTGTTGTTGCTGTCGGTGACAGTGAAGAGTTCTGTTTTGGTGTAGCCTGAAGCTCCGTCTTTCTTCCAGTCGACCTGAATGTACATCTCTTTTCCATAATATTTCGAGGTTGCACCTGTAAAGCTGAGCGTAACAGAATTGTTGGTAACTGCGTTAAATAATGTATTAGTGACTTGAAGAGATTAAAAGGGCGTCTCGCATTCCAAGCAGAGCATACCATCTGTGAGTTGCCTATCGGGCTTCGCATTGCTAAACTCGGCATTACCCAAAGGTTCGATATTGTCGCCGTTGATAACCTGCCACTGCACCACGTTGAGTGTGGCTTTGGGGTCATTCTTGTAAAAGCCGATTATCTTTTTGTTCCCGTCGCTATCCTTGAGCTGAAAGACTCGACCGTTCTCGAAGTTTGTCGAATTAAAGACAATGACTTTGGCCCCTTCATCATCGTCGCTGCCGCCTGAACCAGAACCGCCTACGCCTGTGTTGCCGTTACCTGAGCCGCCAACACCTTCGGAGCCGCCTTTACCGGTAGGTGTGGCAAAAAAGTTGTCGGTGGAAGATGGTGCATTTTGCATGTCCTTCACGATATCGCCCGTATCGTCCCGATCAATTTGGTTGGCTATTTGTTCCATTTTGGGGTGTTGACTTGTCTTGTCCAGCTATATCAGCAATTATGTGTTGGCGATTGGTGGTATGTCCGAATCAAATAGGTTCTCTTAGACCTCTCGTTCACTTCTGAAGGCCAGCACGTCGCAGTTGACAAGAGTTTGAAGACAATCCTCTGTCGTGAATCGTTCGTTTTTGTTTATACTCGTTTGTTGAGTATGGTCAGGTCAGAGTCTATTCCAAACCGCCAAATGATATCTTGGGACAACAGGTCCCTGGGGACAGAGAAACGAAGTAAAACGCAGCACAAGCAAAAAAAAAAAGAAAAGAAAAAAGCGATTTGGTTTTATTAGAGGGTGAATTTCGATACCTGGTTAGATGGCAAGACGAAAAAAAGGTGACAGAAGCGGAGGGAACAAAGAAAACAGGCCAGGTCCAACGGGAGTGAGAAACGGCTTGCTTGTCTTTCCTTCCTCTTCCCTGGTCACATTGCTGCGGCAAGCCCAAGCGTCCTTCAGCCCTGGCTTGACTGGCTTGTCTTGACTTGGTCTGGATGGTTGCAAATGCAGCCCTGGGCGTACTCAGCCTGGCCAGCTAGGACTTCGTATAGAGGGTACTTTCATGGTACAGCACAGTATATGTCCAGAAGTGGCAAGCTTGACGATGGATGACTCCACTGTATCCCTTCCCTAGGAACAAGGTTGTTTCTACTGGGCTGAACGGTTGTGTTCCATTGCTTTGTAGTGACCGTAGGACTCCATTCGCTGACATGAAGTCTGAAACGTCTGCTAAATGCATATGTCAGTTACCGCTCGCCCCGTGCATGATGTTTCTAGAGATACAGTGAAGTTATTTAATTTAACCAATTTACTGTGGTGATCGTAATTGATTTACTGGACTGTCTCAGTGTTGACAGACCATCAGCCCAACTTGACGGATTCTCTCTCAGCTGAAATGTTAGAATAAAGGGAATGCTCCATCCTTACTTCTTCTGGCTTGGGCTGGACTGGGGTGTTGCCCGGACCCCTGAGACCTCTTCGTCCCTACTGGAGACCCTTGATCCCGCCATCACAAACGCCCGAGGTTCTGATGGAGTGCTTCTGTAAGCACTAAGGTACCGAATTGGAGAGGCCGAACCATTCAAAAGGGCTGAGATTTTCAGAGGGCAAGTGTGGGAGTGATATCTTGTTCTATCTCTGCTCCTCGAAATATATAATTACCATCAACTCTCTCGCTATGCTCTACTCTTTAAGACATCCAATGGCTTCTAACAGTTACATCTTGGGTACATCGATTTTATTGCATGACAGTGGAGAGGCGCTGCAGCCCGCTAACTGCCCGCTACTCCAAACGTTGATTCTGCCCTATGAAACGTTGGCATTAAAGCACCCACTCTTTTACGACCCTTCTCCAATTGGATAAGTCTACTGCGGCTGACAGGATGCTCGGGATCTGCTCAAGAGACACTGTGAGGTACATACTGTAGACTTGTTGATCCACTAGAATGTTGGTTCGGCTCATCGTCTTACACTTATTGGTGCTGAGCCCCGTCAGCCCCAAGATTACATCCATCCATCGTTTCTAAGGTGGACTAAGGACTGTTGTCAGAAAATAACGGAAGAGATGAAGACTCTGTTTGCAAGGATATGTTAAACAAGAAATAATCCCTAAAGTACGTTATGCCTATAACTTGTCTTGTCTATCAACTATTGTTTGTTGCCATGGGAGAGCAACTCATTTATACGCGCCGACCAATTAACCTCAGACGTAATATCGTACCACCACTGCAGGATTCAGAGGATTAAAGTACTTTGTCTTGACCTCGTCTACCATTCTAGTACCAACCCAACGGCGATCTCGTCTATCCTTGATGAGACATAGGTAATAACTCATCTTCTCAATACACCAACGTTCACTCCTCTCAAGGACTGAGAGAGTGTGAGTGATTTTGGCTGACACGGGAAATACCGTCCTCTCACTCTAAATTACCCAACTGAAACTCAGCATACCTACACTTCAGCCGCTCTCTAGCAATGCCTCAACTTGATGTTTATTAGCTCGAGCCAGGCCAGCCTCGACCAACACCACCACCCATCCTACCCTGGAGACAAACAAACTATCTGTTTTCTTTCACAATTCCCATCTTGCACAGCCAGGAGGCGTGTTCAACTTTCTGACTGGCGTATGCAGTGTGGCATTCCAGGTCTGCAAAACACGTGTATCGTGTGACCTTTCGTGTAACGAATCTGTGTACGGTGGTTGAAAGGGGCGGTACATTCACAAAGATCGTCGTCCAACAGTCACATCCACCCTTTCATGCTTGTTCTGTTTATAGAACTGACCATGAAAGCCAACACTTTTTAGTGACACACTGGCCAATAATGCAACAATGCAAAGCACCATCATTCGAATTAATGCTTCTCCTCTTGAGTCTCGTCTTTGTCATTGCTCATGCCTACTTCGCCAGGTATTCTAGATGGTACTAACTACTATGTCTTAGGTGTATTTGATGCTCTATTACTCCTTCATGAATGCAATAACATCCAAAAACCATCAAGCCTTGTTTGCGCCGGAAAACTCAAAACTCAAAGTCAACGGTAGAGTCAGAGTCCAGACCAAGAGACTGATCCCCTCCAATCGTCTGCCTCCCCCCGAAACGCCAGCAACTCAAAAAGGTAACTCCAAATTACCAAATCAAGCGAATGTCATTGAAATCTCCTTCTCTTTGCCAAAATCATCATCATCTGAATCTCCCCACGGTTCATGCAGTGTCATCGTCGGTAATGTCTGCGCCGTCTTCACCTGTGGCCTACTTGCTGTCGTCTCAGTAGGTGCTACTGTTGCTGACCGCGGATGATCGTCAAACGAGGTATCAAATGTCATCTGAATGTCGTCCTCGTCATGTCGGCCCGAGCCGTATGCGTCACCATGTCCTGACCCAAACCCTCCGCCGTACGGTGAGCTGTACCCAGGTGGTGATGCTTGTCTGGTGTAGCTTGGCGTGTAACTATGAGACCTCTCCTGGGACACCCGAGTCTCGTGCGAGTCTCGTGGGGCGGTCAGATCCGTCCGAGACCCTGCTCTCGAGCCATTGGCCACCGCCGAAGGAGAAGCAGGAAGTGAGGACACATCCAGCTTCATTGGAGGCAGAGTCGATTTGATTTCCTTGACTTGCAGGTCCTCCGGACTGGCGTAGTGATCGCGAGCATCCTTGGCAATTTCTGCTCGGATTGCATCAATGTCGAAAAGGACACCAGTGTTGTTGTCGGCCTGTTCCCCCTCCTTTGCCTTCTCTTTGCCTTCTCCCTTGTTCTTTGAGTCTTCGTAGATTTCCCAGTCCTGTTTCTCCGCGTTCTTTCGACGACCGAAGAAGCTGAATCGCCCACTCTTCTTGGCCTTGCCCTCTTTTTCGAGGTTCTTGCGTGCCTCTTCGATCTCATTGATCAGCTCTCTCTGGCGCTCATTATGGTTTTCCGGGTCTGGATCTTCAATTTCAACGAACTCTTCACTCTCAACAGACCATCCACATCTCATCAGCAATACCGGCATCTTTTGTCGATAGTCCATGTGACCATTCACGAGATCCGTTACGTCCATGTTCTCAACGAAGGGGCAATCCTCCACCGGAGCTAGACCTGCTACCCGGCGGATACCTCCACTGGTGAGCCGGAACAAGTAACCTAGAATCCAGTCGTTGCGGTTGTAGGCATTCACGAATCGTCCGGAAACCACAGTCTTAGCCTTGATGTACTCCTCCTTCTTCACCACGATAGGTGAACCAAACATGTAGACGTTTTGCACAATACCAACCGCCCCCTTCTTACTGAGCTCCTGGATGCAAGAGAAAACAACTCGTGCTCCGATCGAGAACCCAACCAACGTAATGGGTCGTGTTCCTAGGTTGCGTTCTAGCAGGGAATCTGCAAGAATCTTTCCAGCGGATGTAGCTCTGTCCAGTGAGACAGCCCAAGGGTTGTCAATAAGATAGGCAAGCTTGGTAAGAATTATCGGCAGCTGCAGAGCCGACATGAGAGCAGCTAGAATGGTTGTACCCAAGATTTGTTGGATACTCTGTGTGAGAGCCTTCATGATTGTTAGTCAGCTAGCCTTTAATTGGGACAGGGTGTAAATCTGCTTACCTCAGTAGCCAAAATGTTGATGGTGTCACCCATACTCCGAAGCATCTCAGGCTCGAAGAGCACTGAGTAAAGGTCACCCATGACAGGGTCTACTGTACTGAATGGCAATCGTACGTCATCGACCTTACCTGTCAGCCACCCTGAGATAGTGACAATGAGGTTGACTCGCTTGTTGTTGTGAAGGGGACGGTATTCGAACGTCCTGACCGCGCCAGTTCTTCGGTCCGCAGCCCTGCCTCCGATGATACTGCCTGACGCCGCTGCCCCAGATGTGATGATGGCTGCGCCTCCTACACCACCGAGGAAACTTCCCGTGCCAGTCACTCCAATGGCTGTTAAACCGGTAGCCAGGCCAGCACCGATGACAGGAGCAAGCAAACCTGCTGAAAGACCAATGACCAACCCACCACCTACTGTGGCCAAACCCATCATCACGTATCGCCGGGTCAATGCGTTCTTCCTGCGAGTTTCCGTGTGCTCCTCCTCATTCCAGTTCTCTTTCTCAGCAGCTTGCTGCATCTCCAGAGCCTCTGTGACCTTCTTCTCGAAACGGCAAATATCAACCCACGTAATATCAAGACTCTCACCAACTCGTTCCAAGAGAACCCTCGAGCGTGAATCGTAAATAGAATCAGCAATCAAGAGGAGAAAGAGATCGCAAAGTACTGTCCACCTAAGATCAATATCGATCTTTGCGGTGGTGGGGAGCTGTGATGGTGTCTTCACGTCGGAGAGCTCCTCGCCGTCAAGCGCCTCATATGGCGGCGGTGCCTCGGTAGGCTTCTCATCTAGCGATGGGGTGCCTGGCATCGATGACTCGCCGTCTGCCATGGGATTTGATACTCGGGCATTAGTATTAAGCGCGGGCGCCAAGTCCTGCGGCATAACTCCATGTTCTGCCAACTGTTCGATCATAATCTGCTCAGCTTCATTGATCTCCATATGAGCGTACAGTCGAAGCATCATTTTTTGACCCCACATCAACATGGACTCAACTGAAATACCAACCTCCTTCTTCGTCTTCTTGAATGCTTTCATTTTTTCCGCTTCTTTCACAAGTCTGACAATTTCGAGACGGACCAATCCAACATATGCAACTCTTTGGCCTTCTGTCAAGAGATCTTTGGTAGCCTGCATCTGACCGATGGCATCTCGTCCTTCATCATCGTCGACCATACTGGTTCCGGCTGCACTCTTGAAAAGATATTTTGTGTTGTCGTCCATGCTTGTTGCTGACTCGGCATCATCGTCTAAGGTTACCCGAGTGTAGCCCTTGCCGGCACCACCAAGTCCTCCATATTGGTATGATTCATCCTGTTCCGGATCGTATTCCCTTGCAACTAGCTTGTCGTCGTCGTTGTACATATCGTATCGCGCATAAGAAGGCATTTCTTGCCAGTCATCATCGCCGTCCTCCTTTTGAGGTTCTTCTGGTTTGGTAGAGACCTTTTGGTGGGAAAACTCAGAAACATCATTTCGATTGGCCTGCGCAGGCGGTACAGGGGTTGGCGTGATTTTGTTGGGCTGAGGAGGCTCTTCCTTACTGACAGCTACCTCATTATCTGTAGGCTTTTTGACAGGATCTGCTGCCTCTGGTTGTGTTTCCACAGGGCCCTTGTTCTTCGGATCGTCAGGCTTAGGAGTCTCTTGCTTGTTGACAGCGACATGGACATCCGTAGGCTCCTTAGGAGCTTCTGGCATTTCTGACTGTGTCTTTCTAGAATCTTTTGGCTCCGAATCGTTGGTGCTTTCGGGCTCGACAGGCTCAATCTTTTCTGGGGTTTTGCTAACGGTTGGTGTGGGGGTTTCGTGCGTGACAACAGGCGGGCTCGAAGCATCTTTGCTGGGACTTGACTGTTCAGATCGAGCATCTTCAAACGTTTCGCTCTTGTCGTCATCCTTAACAGCTTCGACGGCGGGGGGTGTCGTCTGATCGCCGGGCTTATCGTTCTTCGTCTCGGACGCTCTCGGTTGCTCACCGCTAGAGGCATCTGCTACTGGACTTGAAGCAGACTTCTCATCTTTGGGGGTCTCGGTAGGCTCATCGTTCTTCGGAGTCGGATACCGTCTGATGGGCAGACCAAAATCGTCGACTTCGGCAGGTGCAGTCATGATGTCAAATACTGGCGAATTATGGTTTGTTTGGGTCTCCCGTTCAACGGGCTCAACGGAAAGAATTGCTTCTGCGACCAGAAGAGAAAGAAAAGAGAACGATGATTTGGCTGCGTGTAATGCGCCTTGAAAGAATGGATCGAAAGGGCCGAAGGTCTGTAGATGACATTCGACCCAAGCAGAAGTGCTGCGAGCGGGCGAATCCTTCTGGCTCCTGAAGTAGGTTGAGCCCGGTCAAAGGATAACTCTATGGTGAGATGATGTAAGTGGTTGCTCGACGTGAAATGCCACGCCCGTGTCGAAGGTCTAGAAGCTGAGGTGAGTTGTTAAAGGAGCGGGCTTATTGTTCCCCTCGTCCCTCTCTAACGAAAAGGAACAAACTCCTATAATTATCGATGGACAGAATCCAACTTGACATTACTTTGAGTGGGGGTCGACCCATCCCATCTGAAAAGATGGCTGAGTTCGTCGGAAGCGGTTGGTGGCCCTCCACTAATAGACAGCGGATGGCGGGACTCTCAGTGGTTCTTTTTAGTGGACGGGGACTTCATTGTGCCTGAGGTGGTGCATGGCACCCTTGTAACTCAGGGATGGGTCTCGTCATTCAATATATGGGTGTTCTCTAATCAATTTCTCCTTCATACCTCACGCGACCCCTGATTAATCTACATAGGGACACATTTCTTGATTCAAGATCAGCTTTAGCAATTGATGCAGTTTATTGTCATCGCGAGATAAGGAATTGATTACGGCTGAGTGAATCATGGTTCAATTAAACAGTTAACATTGTTGACGCTCAAACACTATTCCTTTCATGCACCCCTTGACTCCCTCAATCTATACTATCTTCTCGGGTATCGCTAACGGCGCACACTCCTTTTGATATCCCCTGCCTTCATTGGCGCATACTCCGGATCAAGTACGTGGTGATCTTAGCATTCCTGTCTCAACCCTGGAGCACTGTCCACTCGCTTTGCTTGCTAGTCTTCTCATGTCTCTGCCATGGTCACTTCCGCGGCTGCAGTATCCGTTTCGCCATCATCTGTCGTACCAGCAGTAGCCTTATTCCTCCTCCGTCTCTTTCGCTTGCTGGTGCCTTCTTGTGGGGCATCCTTCTCACCAGTAGATTCTTGCTTCCGCGGTTGTTGTCCTTCTGTCTTTGCCTTCTTAGGCTTCTGGACTGCCAAAGGATTAGGCCCCTTGGGTCCGTGTCCTTTCTTCTTCTTCCTCTTTTGTTCTTCGGAGTTGTCACCGGTCTTCTTATCGGCCTTCTCATCGTCGTCTGCATCTTCTCGCTTTCGCTTGCCCAGTGCGTTCTTGATCTCTGCTCGAAATTTGCTTCTCTCCTCCTTTGCTCGCACTTGAACGCTCTCATCCGCCATTGGTTCGAGAATCATAACACTCCTCTTGATATAGATGAGAGGGACTCCTTTGATACCTCGCAGCATCTTTCGTACCTCCTGGTCTTGGCTGGCCACAACGTAGCGATGCTTGTTCTGGAGTGTATCCTTGGGGTCGACAACTGATCGAAGACACTCTTGAGTGCTCAATGGCTCGGGATAGTCGTCGGGATGGTGACCGCATCGTCTTCGCTCCAGGGTCTTGGCTAGGTCGATGGCCTCATGTACACCCGGCTCGTTTCGTGCTGCATAGAGTTTGCGAATTTCGCATTGAGTAATCACTATTCCGATTAGAAGATTCACCACGACAGAGTTTGTTATGATAACATACTGGGCTTGACTTTGCCATGAACTGTCCTTGAAAGAGCAGGCTCGAGGTCCATCTTGAACCGCGAAGAATCTCTCACCATTTCGGCATCGACTGCATCTGGTAAGCTTTGTCCATCTGGCTCAAGTTTGCGACAACTTACCCAGAACCTGATAGGGCTCACGGAAGCCGAAAGTCTGGGAGAACTGCTCCATGAGCTTCCGATATTGTTTTGATCTCTTTCCTCTCATTTTGAATAATTTGTTGTCGAAGTATGTACCAAGCTAGTTGTTTAGACATGTTAGGACTGGATGCGACGAAGTCAAGGTTGGCAGAAAATAAATTTCCTTATCGCGGCACGTGTGATAAGCCAAAATCGACCCGGTGCTGTCATGCCCCGCCATCCCACTTCACTTGTCATGGCCATCCTCAGGGCTGGAAAGTATTGCTATTATTTAATCATGGGAATTCCATATCTGAATTTTCTTTAGGCAAATCATCTCTATATAATGCATGATGACCCGTTATATGAGAGCCATATATTCCCCTCTCCATCATTAAATCGTGTAATTAGGTATCTTATGCTTCGGTCGGTGCGGCAAGTCTACTGTAAGTCGTTCAGATGTCTCAGTTGTCCAGCAAAGAGACTGCTATCATCCCTCATTCTTCACGCAGAGGGCTGCGACAACACTGATGTCATCAAGTTTACCTGCTGCTGTTAGCTTTGCTTCCTCTCTTAGAGACCTGTCGCTGTAGCTTACCACCCTCGCTCGCCAAACCCTCCTCGATCGCATGCTCCATGAACGGGCTCTCAGCGAAAGGATCTACGGCGATTTCCCTTGCTGCCTCCATCAGATCTTGAGCCGCAACTCTCATCCCACCGTTGCGGCCACCTGTGCGATCACCGTTGTGAGCTTCTGCATGTGCCCCAGATTCCCACTCTTTAACGCTTTTGAGTATTCTTGCAACGATCTCATGCTCCCAAAGATTATCAATAACTCCGTCACTCATCGCAAGCACAATATCTCCAACTTCCAAATCGACCTTGTCCATAACTGCATTATCGGCGGGCGTGTCAGGACTGTTAGTTCCAAGTTGTCGTGGGCAATCAAACCAGTGCCACTGCTCCACAGTCTTGTAAATGACTTTTTCAGTACTGGGCCGGAGTACCATGACCTGGCAGTCGCCCACATTAGTCACATACAAGACAGGCGATGCCTGTGCTTCGTTCTCGGTGCAAGTCTTGTAATGTAATTGTGCGCCACAGGCTGTTGTTGTTCCTAAACAGTCATGCGACGTAGTCGCCTCGAGAGTCTGTTCATAAGCACTTTGTAGGCTGGCGATGGGGTTCGGCTCTTGCGACTTTGCTAATCCGACAAGTTCTTCCTCGATCGCAGAAGACCAAAAATGCCCAATTAACCTTGACCAGAGTCTACAGTTAAAGTCAGTGACGATGGTAAAGAGATTCGGAAGTTGCCCGGCAACTTACCCGGCATGCCCTCTCGGTCTTGTGGCCCACGCTCCCACGCCGTCGTTGGCACAAATGAAATAATCACTCGCGTAGACAGCATCATCGCCATTTGTTTTCCCTCTGATAAGCTGCCCGTTGACAAAAGCACGACGGTCACGGCTCTGGTGATGTGTACTTAAAGGATCGGTAAAGGATGTAGACGGAGGAGATAGGAAAGGCGGAGGGAATGGGCGGGGAGGTCGTTTCGCAAAGAGTCCGATGCCTGTTTCGAATCGAAAAGGCAATATAGGAATATCATGTAAAAGGCGAGTCGTCGTCGAAGCGAATCGTCTCTTGCGACATGGGCGCCATGTTGTGCGTGTCAGGCGTCGCACCGGGAGCGATGGTAAGAAGGATGTCGGGACGGCCGCCAGAATCGAAGATGGTTGACTGGGCATTCCAGCTGCACAAGCCTGGAGCTGCCCCTTTTGAGTTGCCTGCCTGGCCGCAACCTGTATTTAGATTGCTAATGTGCTCTCTGGGAGAGAGATGTGATCTCCAGGAGAGAACAGAACACCGTAATCAGGCTCGGACAAGTTGGGGGACTACAGACAGCTGCCCAGACACGTGATAAGCCCGATACCGCCAAAATAGGGCGTCATCCAGAACAGGCAGTTTTTGTGTCAAAGCGACCAATGATTTACAAACACTATTCTTCTCCCGCAGGAACCCGAGCTCATTGTTGACCCCAACGGTAAGAAAGATGACTAGGCTGAGCTAGCATTGCAGAGAGAACGAAAGAATACCCCTATTTACGCCCTTAGAACGACACAGTTTTGTGCGGTTGGCCTGCTTCTTTTGTAAAAACTTGCCTTGAAATAGGGATGTGCTTCGGCGATCTTCCGTGAGAGAGAGCAGCCGACGCCCGATTGTAGCAATGCATGGCGTTTGATAATTAAGCCAATCCCTCATTCATAAATAGGCTACATCCAAAGAAACTCTGAGCAAAATTGACACTTTCAAAGGCATATATATCTTTCTATAAAGGGCCCATAGTAAGTAATCAGTCAATCATGATTTTGGTGAATTGTGTTAGTCTCAAAAGCACGAATAGCCATGGTGGATCTTTAGACGAAGAGATGAAAGATGGGGACCAATGGATGTCTTCTTGGGCTACGGGAAACTGACAGCACTTCAACAAAATTCTTGGAGACAATTGATTGACCAGATGACACTGTAACACTGAGGTTGTTAGTCGCTGGAGTTGTGTAGGAGGTACCACGTGTTGGCGCCATGGAGAGACAGGCGTCTTCACACGTCATGAAACGAAACAAAGCTAACGGGACAAAATAAGGTGTGTCCAATCTCACGGTTGCCGCACCTTGTTCCAACCGATCTGGAGGATCAACCCAATCATGAATGCCAAGAAGGGTTGGCAACCTGCAAGCTGCCAAAAGGGAGCCAGATCCTCCACTAGCTGGAGATATCGTCAACATTCGTTCAGGAAAGGTATTTATGATAAGATGAGGGCCGTAGGATGACGCATTTTATTGAGACATTGCTCATGATATGTCTTGATTTCTCCACGCAAAGATCAACTGGACTGGAAATAGTGCCTCATCGCGATCTGAATCCAAACTTATCACCGCAAGATTGGGGCTCATGACGTAAGGGATGGGGATGAATCGATTCTCAATCAAAGCCCATTTCCCCATTGGGGGTCAGCTTGAACCTCTTGCGGACGCTATTATGCGGACTGCGAAAATAGCGTCCAGAACACGATTCTAACGACGTACGTGTAGCTGGCATGACGATCTGCGGCTCTTTAGATGAGTTGTCGGCTTTCAAATGCCTGACGATCAAACAGGTGGACCTGGGCGATCGTACGGGGGGGCTTGTAGAGGTTGTGCTAATCGCAGCAATCTCGTGCAGTTGGAACTTTGAAGTGAGACGTCTCATGTTAATCACAATCATGATTGACACGCAAGCCTTCTTGATGAAGTATCTGTATGAGCATCAGACAAAGGCATTAGTTAGCCGCCTTTGCAAAATAACAAACCCCATTCTGGTTGTAACCTTCGAGCGTATTTCTGGCGGCTGAGTGAGCATGGATAGTGCATGGCCAAGGGGAAGCCGGTGTAGCCGGTTGAGCTAGGAGATTCATAAGATTTTGCCCTGAATTTAGCTACATCTTCTCAAACAATAATACGTTGTGGCCAATGGGATTTTGTGATAGTCATAAACACCAAGAGCTTGGCAGCATAGGTAGCCATCGCGATTTGGAGTCCAAGCACAAGCTGTAAGGTCTTGTTCATCAAAGTACACTTCTATTCGGAGTTTGGGAGTCCAGGTTGTCTTCTCCAGGTTTTGAAAACCCTGAACTATACTGATCCTTGTCCGGCTGAATTAGGGCTCGGATGCCTCACTCAGGACTTACCCAGTAACCTACCATGTACTAAGCTCAGAGGTATTGGATACCTTTACAGAAGGGAATGGCTTTATGGATGACTTGCTACAGATGTTGTATGTGTGCATTTGGCGATTACAGTAAAGCTATTTGCATAATACGAACCCGAAACCGATAGACTACCCACTCTATCTGAGATGGGCATCAACATTTGAGGCCTCAAAGTGCCAAGCCTTTTCTGACCCCAGAAAACTACTGAATGAAGCCCGCTTATCCTCCGAACAGATTCTGGTCATATCCCAGCGGCTGGATGCTTACGTATCTAGGAAGCAGAATGGTGGAGTCGAATCACCAAAAAGCTAGATATCATGCTGAGGCTTGGCGAATTACTATTGAAGCAATACGAGGCCTGGCTTGCCTACCTAGCTCGCTCGCTGGTATGGTGTAATTTCGCCGGTACGAGACGGTATTTCATCAGTGAAGCTGACGGGATGGGACGATACCCGCAACATGGCGAAACAAGAGAATCGCGACTAGAGTGGCTGGCTGCAGGGCTAATAAGGGCGCTGAGACGCATTCAATGGATCCCATGAGAAATGGTTGATGGAGACAGCGGCAACAAGAAGCCTTGAATTGGAAGATGGCGTTAGTGACGAATCTCTTTTGCCGGGATATGCCTTTATCCACTCCGTCCGTATCCCGCCCGTCGTTAACGCCGCTCTACGGGCTCCGAAGCGGGAGAATCCCAGCCACTGTCTACCGAATATTCGTTAATAGGCTCACATTGGATTGTAGCTTTGGGTAGTGGATCGGCGGTAAATACTGCAGGTACCCAAGCAGCCAAGCTACCAAGTTACCTCTTTTGTAAGTCAAAGAAGCATTTGGACAAGATTTGGTGTGATTTTGCCTTGATCTCTGCTGCGCTGCGAGTTCCAAGGTCTGCTGTTGTGCATCAGATGCCAGGTTGCGTGCTCAGATACCAAATCAGGTCGTCTCAGACAAAGGCATGATGCTGGTGATAGATGGCGCCAAGCGACCGAAGCCCAGATGCGCGCGGCCTTTCCTCACGTTGCACCACACATGTCTCCGGATCTTGGCTGGGTCATAGACAACTGATCCGGTGTCAGAATGATTGGATGTCATGTTTCTGTAACATGACTCTCCATACATCCAAACTGCCCACTCAGCATCTTTCCAGTCAATGAAAGGCATGTTACGAAACAAAGGCCTGCTGTCGAAGGCTCCGATTGATTCTTTGTCCTTCTTTGGACTCTACTTTCGTCTCGAGGTTGAGTCGTCAACTTGAAACTGGGCTTCATGTCAAGTATATAGAAAACATGATACCCTGCCATTTTTGCATGCATGTTGTATCTTTCCTTGCTTCTCACAGCATCTAACCTCTGTTCGATTCCTTGATTCGCTTTTTATACATTTACTTCCATTTTAATTCTCTTGGCTCACCGACTTTGCTTTCATTACTCGGTGTGCAGTACATTAGAGGTGCTAAGAGGGTCCTCTTAGTGAATTGAGGGTGTCTGCTCTAGACTTAGACTTCTCGCCCAGACCACGGCCGGTTGCTAGTGACGTATGCCATCGACCAGGTCCATCACCACTCGATTCGGTCATCGCGAATCGTTCATCAAAGGACCGGACCATACTGTACGGGTACGGGGGTACGAGGCTGCAAGCAAGGCAAAGCACATTTTTGTATGCAGGCAAGCAAGCAACCAAGCAAACAGGATCGCCTAAGCCCGGATCCTCTTGATACCAGCTCCGGAGACAACTCTAGCTGAAAGTTACTCAACTCGAGGGACTTATCAGTAAAGGGACCCCCGCGCTGGCTGGAGATCGCAGCATTGAACCAGGCTTGAAGCTTGTTGGAGGTCCTCTTTTTTCCAAGAAAACCTGCTCTTGACGTTGCGATTTCTGGGTCCCCTACCAGCCTCTGACAGATTTAAACAACGAAGCCCGCAGGCCGAAACCCTGGAAAGGTGTACGTTCTGAATGACGCATCTCCATTTACAAGCTCAACGCAACACAGGGCGAGCAGTTACAGCTGCACCGACCACTAACAAAGTGCCGTTGACATTGACATTGGCATCCAATTGCCATCGACGCCGTCCGCCGAGTGACGATCTTTCTCAAGCCCGCCGACGCCGGCTTCCGCGTATTAACGTATGCACACTGAAATCACGAAATCACGGTCACGGCTTATAAGAAATTACCGGCCACCCCATATCCAGAGCCAAGACTCGCATCGTCTAGGTTCTCGTCACTGTCACTTGTCGCTCGCTCAGTTGCTGCAATTCCTTTTACGGTAGTTCACCACAGTTTTGACCTTGACCAGCTGTACCAGGGCTGGTCATCCTTGGCCGGTTAATAAGTACTGACTGACATGTCAGTCGCCCGAAGCATCCGTATCTGCATCCGCAATCTGCCTTCGCACCCGCCGCAGCACCACCTTTGAATGGATACGGTCCGGCGCCGAGTTCTAAAGGGAGTCTAGAGTCTAATAAAGTCGCACATACAAGAAGCGCCCACCTCACCTACATCTGAATCGTCCCGCACGCAAGGGCCTGTTTTCTTCTTCTTTCCTCCTCACTCCTGGACCTTGGATTCGCCCTGATCTTGGATGCCCAGCGATAATCAAACTTGTCTGGAAATTACGGTACCAGACTGTCGTCAGTATTGTGGCTGACGCACCTCTCACCTGTCGAGACATCCCTTGCGCAGTTGATCTGGTCAACTGCCTACCTAACAGCTCTCTCCCTTTTGCTGTTTGTTGTTTCTGGGCACCAATTGGCCTGATACTTTTTGATATTTTGTCTCAGAAATTTCCTCATTTGCAGGCCGAACATTGTGGACAAAATGGGTCGAAATCGAGGTGCGTACCATCTTCGTGAATTTCATTCCAGCTCTGGATGTGTCTTTGGTCGTCCGCTACATACGCTGCGTTGCGTTGCGTCGCTTTACGACCCGACAAGACAGAAGACGGCGCTAGTGGTTTGCTGGTCCTTGCCCTGGCGTTGGTCCAGTCTAAGTCTAGGCGAG